ACTAAATCAATGCAAAACACACCAACCAAAGACAATGATGAACTATGCTGAAAGTGATACAACTCCACAGTACGTCTTTTGTAGAAAATGCGAAAAAGTGAAAAACACAGGTGCAATAAAGGTATATAAATGATACGGACGGAATGCCAGACACTCACATTCATAAAAACACACTACAGAAATGCCAAGACAATGCGAGTGGGCCCCTGGGAAGGATGCAGATGGGAGCCACCCATGCCCACATTGCTAGAACTTTCATTGTGTTTTGAACGTTCGGTTGATCCCGTGTTGCTGTAACTAACCTAATGCAACTTTACAGACAGGCGGGGCAGATAAAACAGGCCAAGAAGAGGCAAACCCAGGGTAACTGCACCCAATGAAGACCGGTACAAGCGTGCTTGGCTTCTCCGGTCAGGTCGTGACATAATTTGGAGGGGGTGTTTTTGTGTGTGGAGGAACTTGTAGGAAGGAGAGAACACCACTGGTCATTGTAAACGAAAACTTGACAGCTCAGTGTAACATGGATGACATTCTTCGCCCGATTGTCCTACCATTTATACAACAGCCACCACGTGGTGTCCTTTATCAGCATGACAACGTCAGACCATTACATCCCAAATCCTACAGAAATTCCCTGCAGCCAACAACGTCAACGTGTTGCCGTGGCCTGCCGCTCCCCAGACATGTCCCCAAGTGAACACCTCTGGGATGTCATGGTCGTCATCAGGCTACTGACTATTTCCGTGCGCCAGCGAGTTTTTGCTTGTAGTGGACGCAGATGATGGTCATACACGCTATTGATGTAACGTGCAATTGAACTTGAGCGACTTAGATGTGTGTGCCCTTTGTCCATTTTGTCTCGTTTTGGCTACCGCACCTCAATTCGGGTAACTGTCATAATATCGGATGCTATATGATTCTCAGTTTAAATGCTGATTTCGATGAGATTTTGATGTTTTCAATACATTTTACTCCATGCATCTATCATTTGTGGTTTTTAAACTAGAGTGATTTAAAACTATGATAACGTTTCTTTTGGCCGTCAGTTTATTATTCATTTGTTTTATATACCAGGAAGCATACATGAAGTTGAACATGTACGTCTAAGTTCGTCTCTATGAGACGTGGGGTCTCTAATCCTGTGATGTATTGATGTATTGGTGATTTTTAACGACCGTTTTACTCCTTAAATGACTGTAGAATGTAGACTGTGTATGCATGATTATCTGTTAGTGGATCGCTAGAACAGCTCACCGCCACAATGTGTTCAACCAAACTGTAACAAAGATGAAATCTTTGTTTGAAATAATATAATAATATATAATTGATATAACACTTTTGTGTTATGACCAGGTTATATTTATGCTAGTCTTATGACAAGCAAAACCGAGCGCATGATCGCCGGTGTAAACCCAGATAGCTCCCGCTTCCGGCGGTGTAATGTGAAATGGTTACCCGTGGTATATGTTCACACAAACTATAAGTGATGATGAAGGTGGAGACGCCAATGTTCCAACACAATTGACAAAATGGCAGAACTAGAAGTCAGCGCCATACGTCGAATGATCCACGTGTCCCAGACATACATCAGGATTTCTTACATGAGAAATTGGACCAGTGTGATCAGAAAAAAAATATATCCAGAGACCGGTTCCCTCACAAAGTAAATAATACTAAGTTTGTGAGGTGATTATTCAAAGAGAGCTATGATATATTTGTAATGTTCATGTACTACAGGCAGCATTGGCATAAAACACAGTAGTTGTATGTTACGTAGGTGAGTACACTAACAGAGAATCACAGGTGCTTAGGGGTAGAATAGGTCTTCAGCAACCCAAGCTTGCCGTAAAAGGCGACTAACAGGATTGGGTGGTCAGGCTCGCTGACTTGGTTGATGCATGTCATCGATCCCAATTGTGTGGATCGATGCTCATGATATCAATCACTGGATTGTCTGGTCCAGACTCGATTATTTACAGACCGCCGTAATATAGATGGAATATTGCTGAGTGCGGCGTTAAACAACAAACAAACCAACCACAGGTGATTAGAAAACGTAAAAGCAGAAAATTGGTAGAAAAAGTCGTGGATGATAGTGATGATGATGATGTATATGACGATGACGTTGACTCGGACGAGAGGTATGTTGAAAACGTATTTCTGTCAATTGAAATGGGGTACATAAATATTGGAACCTGATAGCAATCGTTGTTGTTATTGTGTGTCTGTTTTATGCGATATATTTAATAATTTCCTCCTGGTAATATTCGTTCATATTTCCCTAATTTTCCGGTTTCAGTGACTTTGCAGCGTACAGTCGTATATGAACAGAATGAGATACTATGTATTCCCTATGTTCGTAACGCAGGAGGGTACAAACATGTTTACGTATAACAGAAATTAATGTTGCGGATATTTCACCATCAATATTAAGCTTCTTAACCACATTGATGTGATCACCGTCCTGAATACACATTTTGCCTTTCAGAGATACTTTTTTTCCTGGGACATACTTAAAATAACTTGTAATCAGATGTGTTTCAAAACATTTGGTTCTGAGGCGCATGTGCGACTTGACTGGACTTCTATGCGTAGAAGCTGTCGTCCTCCGACGCCGAATCACAAGATAAAGTATGTCTCGAAGCTGAAGGTTTAACATAGTGCTAAGCAGCACCCGGTTCAGATAAGCCAAATTACGTATACGACTGTTCTAGTCCTCGCCAAGTGAAAAATCTGGTTTCTACCATACAATGATATACATGCAACTTCTTTTCATTTCAGCTGTGCTAAACAGTGTGTAGAGAGCACGTATGAACATGTGTTTACTTTACCCTTGTTGGTATCAAAACTACTCAAACACACCCAGGGCTGGAATAAAGTTGATTTCGTTGGGGAATTTCCTCACTTTGTATAGTTTCCATTTATAAATTGTCTCGTCATGGACCTTTGGGTTTACTTACGAAAAACACACGGTACAATTGCGGACCAAACTACGTTGGACCCACTAAAACAAATGGTTAATGGTTATTGAACTGCGTGGCCGAACATGGCTGTTTCTTGTCATGACTAATTCATGCCAAGGTTAATCATGTTAAACATACCTGTCTTTAAGAAACGGCTCTTCGTGCTTTTGTTTTGTCTTTGACCCGACCCTAACTAACTGAATTATGATATAAGCTGAATAGCACAAGAAGTCTATTTTTCATTGACTTTGATGATAGAACAATGTGAAGAAGAAACGGGTCCCCAGCGGGATTCGAGACAAAAGGTTCAGCCTGAAGACTAAAGCGTGTCGTCTTCTACTTGTGCAACACGTAAATTCAAAATGCCGGCGCCTAAAAGATAATCATTCTCGAATAAATGCCATAATTTCACTGGGAGTAATAGGCAATATGGCGGTGAAAATTCTGTGAATAATGCATGTTATTAAAATCACAGACGGCTATTTATTACATGACACAGACCATGCTTTTTGGATGAGGAAATGCCAGGCGATAGTTTAGAGATAAGTTATCATGGTGTCAACTCATGTATAATATGTCCATGAAATCTGAGGCCCACTTTTTAAAATTTTATTTATACGAATGACAAGGAAGAGAATGGAAAAACATTGAGACAGAAAAGTATATATGAATGCATCATGAGAAAGTCTGTGGAATTAACATGTTAACAATTAAATATTTACTAACATCGAGACTAATAGTTAATCCGTTTAGGAATGGAGATATTTGTGTTTGATTCGGAATGTATGGGATCCTGAATGTTGACCATGGTTTAAACAGGTAAGAGCAGAGGGACGGACCCCCGGTGTATGAATCGTCAAGCACAATTATCCAAAGCGTTAAATGTGTCTGATGGGGATATCCATGTTAAACTGCCGCATAGTATCGCAGTGAGCTAGCACTTTAAAACCGGCATTAGTCAGGACAAGCCCACGCACACACGCACGCACATCGCAATATAAGAGAAATAATAAATACAATAATCTTCAACAGTGACGTTAAACCCTATGTCACCACCTCGCATGTTAGTGGATGAGACGGGATATCTTCCACCCAAAAGTACCCAAACAACCCGCCGACAAATGGAAGCTTTCTTTTTTACCCCGGTTACTTAACCCTTTCCAAAATATTGTTATAACTGTTTTCACGGCGACCCTTTACTTAAATGTATTTTGTACATTGTAAAAGTTAAAAAAATTGAAAACACGTCATGAACGCCGTTACAGTGACTTGGGTAAACCAAAACATATCTAAGTTACAGCTACTCATTAAATCATTAACACAAAAAACATTAACACCACAATACGGAATCAGTGATCTTTCAGCGCCATATTGCAACCCAAGTTCCGCCCACACTGTTATCAGCCAATCGTGAAACAGTTGACTGCTAGTAGGCGTGGTATATTTTTTCCTCGGTTTATAAACGCCAAACAAAATGGTTAACCAATCAGATGCTATGGAATCACCTGCTATTAATTTACAGTGAAATCAAATGCAGCAAATCAGGTAGGGTATCTCTGTCATTGATGAACAAGCAGTCTTCGATTATCAAGGGAATTCTATTTTCATTTTATTACAATTGCTTTGATCCAGCTATATGACGGCGGTTTATAAATAATCGAGTCTGGACCAGACAATACAGGGATTGACATCATGAGCATCGATCCATGCACATGATATACGATGTCTCTTTTAATCAACCACATCACCCACCGAGCCTGACCACCCGATCAATTTAGTCGCCTCCCGCGACAAGCATATGATGCTGGGGGGGCAGTACGGAATCAGCATGGTTATCTAACAATTAAGAACGTTCTCTCTCTCTATATATCTCTTATAGAGAGGGGGCACGGGTGGCCCAGTCGTTTAAGGCGCCGCGATTCGCTGTGCAGAGTTGCGTCCCTTGGGCACGCCAGAAACCTATGATTGTGGGTTCGAATCCCAGTTCGCCCCGATTATGTTTCTAGGTTTGTCAGCACCATACCCGTGCTCGTGGGTTTCACCGAAGTGGTAAACGTCCTGTATCACTTCGGGCTTTCCTCCCACATTAAGCTGACACGCCGCGATATAACTGGAATAATGTTAAAAGCGGCGTTAAACCCAACTCACTCACTCACTCTTACGGAGAACTAAGAATCGAAGAAACCTCCAACACATATGATTCTATGAAAGCCATTTGGACACCAGACCATGGCGCATACTCCCCCTTTAACAATTATGACAATTATATATTTTACATAGCTCCGAGAATAGAAGAAATTTACAGATAAGATTGTATAAAATTAGGATTGTCACGTCCGATTTTCGATTCCACCTTTTCACGGATATGTCCTTGTTTCTGGTTATCATCATAACTCTCGGATATTGCCTTGTTTGTGTTCACAGTCCCATCCGTACCATTTAGTGTATATTTCGTGACACTGTCGTGTTCCTGAAATATATAATCCAACAGATATAGTTTTAAGAATAGATACATATGTGAACATATGAAAATAGAAGTATATTACAGTAAGTCTTTGGTGGTATACCATGAAACCTTTAAGTACTAAATTCTGAAATAATCTTACCCCTTCATAGTTGACCCCACATCTGAGAGGACCGAGTATCATCTCTGGCAAACAAGGGAAGAGCCGGTCAAACAGAGGGCAGATCAGACGAGGGTTCATGGTTTTAGGATCGGTTTTTCCTGAAGGGATTGAATTAAATAGCATCTTTAGCGTAACGATCAGGAGGGAAAATACTATTCTAAGTTCGTCCGAGAAGAATCCGTAATAATCACGAATAAACATAAATACATTATGGGGTAATATGGAAGGCTACTAACCGCTGCAGATGTTAAGGAAAGTACTTCAATGACATCACGTTTTTTGTTGAATAGAACGTCATATCTGTCTAAAAGAATCCACATTTGATGTTGCAACTTTGTACACCACTTAAGGAAAAACTTCATTCCTTTATCCATTAGGCTTTTACAAAACGTGGTGTCCATAGATACAGTTACATGTCTATTTCGACCCGTAAAGATCCGGGGTAGGATAGGTATTACAGTAAGTAATCATCAACCCAAGCTTGCCGTAACAGGCGACTATGCTTGTCGTAAGAGGCGACTGACGGGATTAGGTGGTCAGGCTCGCTGACTTGGTTGATACATGTCACCGATCCCAATTGCGTGGAACGATGCTCATGATGTCAATCACTGGATTGTCTGGTTCAGACTCGATTATTTACAGACCGCCGTCATATAGCTGGAATATTGCTGAGTGCGGCGTTAAACAACAAACCAACCAACCAACTTTATTGAAAGCATTGACTGTTGTAGTCTTGATCAAAGAACTTTTGAGGAAGAGTCGTATGACGCTCTTTGAAATCTCAATAGAAAGATCATGCTCGATGGTACCTCAACAGTTGTACAAGTGGACACCAAGAGATGGAGCTGCTGGAATATTGCTCGACATAAACGGAACGTTGACTATTAGAAAGTTGAAAGCATCCCTATTGTGAAGAGTTTTTTGTTACTCCGATTCTTTATGCGTAGGAATGGTTAAATGTTTGGAGGATGTTTTGTATCAAGTCCTTCTCCCATTCCCCAAATACCTTAACATACATAGTGATAAGTAAAATATAATTAATAATGTTTCTCATTTATAAAGGTTTCTGGTTGATCACGAGACTACACCCACCCATCCCCGCCCTAAACAAGGCCTCCACCCTCAAGTAATCTTGATATGTCGGTTTGTTAGCACATCTTACATGTAGATGCTGTACCAGTAAATTGAAAACAGTGAAAATCACCTGTGATGAAGCTGACGACAAGTCCAACGACTACAACCACCGCCACTGCTGTGGGAGAGTAATTTAAGTACGATAACTCATACAGCGGGTAGAAAGGATCACTGAAAAAAATATCATAAGTTTTCATCGTCACCTGATAATGTATTCTCTGTGCATAGATATGACAGAAAGGAATGTGCCCTTGTGCTGATTGTAGTGAAGAAACGGGGATTTAACGCCGCATCAAACAGTATTTCAGTGACCGGTGGGGCAGGATACGCTCACCTTTTCGCGAACACCTCATATCATCACTTTTTGATAGTGATTCATGAACACATTCTTATGATAGAGTCGGAATCGTACAATGGACAGTGCTGTTAGCAGTTTTTTTTAATGAATATGGCAACGGTTTTGTCGCTTTTATTTATATAATTATCTTGGTGTAGCACTGAATTTACGTCATCAGTTTTCCGTGAGTATTGTTAGATCCGATGAAATGATTAAAATAACTGATAAAAATACATACCTTGAGCCAAGTGGAGCATCGTCTCGGGTGATATTTAAAGGTGATGTAGTGGTTGCCAGTGTAGCCGACGGTGTAGTGACGTTCCAGTTGCAGCCGTCAGTTGAAAAAGATGAGAAAACGCCAGTGGACGCTTTGTTCAAGTACGCGCCGATACAGATCCAGACCATGAATGTCACCGACGTCAGGCCCCCAGCAAGAGCCCCCTGCAAGAATTCAAATTCAAAGATGGCAAATTACGTCTCACGCTTATAAGTACGTACATGTACAGCCGATTGATCCAGACGATAGTGACATTGTCTGTTATTTAGAACTATGCTTACCCAAGAATTTGCCCAGGGAAAGAACATTCCCAAGACGAAGAGGCCAAACATGGGACCGCTGAGCACGCTTGTCACGCTGTATGTAGCCTGAACATACATACAGCATTATGAATGATGTGTATGCAACATATTAACATCATATACTTACTTGTCATCAATGTCATGTTACAATGTCATCACTGAGTTTCAGAGATTCATTCATAAATTTGGCACATTAGCTATTTTCCCTTTTACACCCAAGGGGATCTGTTTCGGGGAGTGATTATGATGTTGACGTTTTAACACTTTATAAGTAAACCCCTGATATATTAGAGCATATTAGGCCTGACTGAGTGGGTTGTTATGCAGGCTTTGGAAAAAACGGCTTCTCTCATTGTACCCATGTTGAGAATCGAACCCCAACGCCATGATTAAATACATGACATTGTTATAAAGTTACTCTGAAAATACCGTTAAGTAAATTCTCTCTCACAATTCCAGACGCAAATTAAAATCAAAGACTTCAGAATGTTTATTTTCGGCTCCCACAATACGAATTCCAGGCCTATAATTTGGTGAATAATGCATTATAATACGACCGCCCTGCCACGAGGTTTGCGTGGAATACGAAAATGTGAGGACACTGTTTGTGTTCTGTGAATATTTTACGTCCGTGTCAAATACTTTAGTTATCTGAGGTACACCCCTCAATGGCCCCTCAACGAATCTGCAGGTGCATTGGCAAATACATCGCGAAAAGTGTAGGCACTTTACGTACCTCCATGACGCTCCCTAACTGTGACACAACAAACGCCAGGGCTACCGTCAGACCTCCAACTACAAACACTGCAGCACAGGAAATAACAACAAATACACTATTCATTTGCTTAAATTTGAGGATATGAAATCCCTGTTTTTGCTATAAAGTTACATTTTCGCATTTACATCTACATGTATCTCAAATTCATGAATAATGTTCAATTTTATGGCTGCATAAAATTTGGAAGAAATAACTCTTCATTAAGAGTGAGAAATTGTTGTTTATCGCAGCAGTCATCACTGTTTCAGATACATCACGGCTGAATATTATGGATTCTTGACCTGGCAAACATGTGACAATGAGCGTGAGACATGACCCACGCCTTCGACCGGGTTATGATGACAGGTCATAGCCAGGTCACAGAGCCAGACCACCCGTATCTCACATAAGCCGACTCTTAATGCAAACCGGAGGTAACCCGGAATCGCCAAATCTTATACACATAAAAAACTAAAATGAATATACAGAAAACTATTTACACCGCGGTGGAAATACTTTTCTGTATTTTCATTTTATTTTTTGACATTTTCGCTTTTGTTTTTGACATTTTCCTTTTAGTTTTTGACATTTTCGTTTTTGTTTTGGACATTTCCATTTTAGTTTTTGACATTTTCGCTTCACATTTCAGCGATTCAATAGCTACTTGAAAGTACATTTTCCATGTTTTCGGTTGTTTTTATACATGATTTATCACATATTTGTATGACAAATTGTGTTAATTTGCAAAAAGGTTACGATAAAAGTAAGTGAAATATCAAAATATTTAAAAACAGACTCCATGTCCCTTATGTGCCACCGTAATAACGAGACACTGCTTTGGTGGCTACCTACCAATGATCTTGCACAGAATAGTTACAGCTCTGTCTGACATTTTTCTACAGCAGAATGGTTGGATTAAATCTTTGGATATTACGGCACTGATTGCATTGAAGCCTGAGGACAGCGAGCTGAAACAGACATAACTGATTGAGTTATCAAACATAAAACGAATTGTTTCCTTTACGACTTAAGTTATTCTTCGATATGCAACGAGATGTCACGTAAAAACAAGTGCTTAGGAACACAACAAGTTTAACGTTTACCGTCAGACTGACACGTGACCACTTAAGGAAAGGGGAGATAACCGTGTACCTGAGACCTCCGCTGATGATACACGAGACGAACACTCCGGGTAGGCCGTGCAGATGTCCCAGGATGTCCATCACATACAGCGGCAACAGCTGAGATTTAAGAGTGAGTGAGTGAGTGAGTGACCACTCGGCTACCCCTCCATCCCTGAGATATCATATAATATGAACTGATTTATTTATAAATATCCTGATTATGTAACATACTTGCAAGTAATGTCTGTTCACATAAATTCAACAGCAGCTCCATAATTTTATGTCTGCCGTCAATGTAGTTTTTACTGTAGAATTAATAACGTCTTTAAGACAGTGGTCCATTTACGGTGTGGCCATGAAATATTAAGAGAAGCATATTCATCACAACTAAGGACACACCTTTTATTTTTGGTTTACGGATGTTTGGTCCAAAAGATTCAGGTCGATAGGTCGAAAAAGTACAAAAGTGAACAGATCCCATTTCAAATATTTTGATTGAGGTTTCCTCAAAATGGGAAAAATGGGAAATAGGGAAGCAAATAGGTAAATAAAAAAAAGCAACTGAAAACAATAAAGTGGGGGCGGATATTTTTAAGATTCATTTTTATCAGGTTTTACATGCAGTTCTGGTATTTTCAATAATTTATATCTTGACAGCGATGGTAAATAAATTTCTTCTACCATTTTACCTATTTCTAGTCGGCGGAATGAAATACCTGCTGCTTTTCCTTGTTGTTTCACATTTCAAGTTTTGGAGACGGCGTATTCGAAAACCAAGTTTAAAAAAGTATATTTGAACATTGTCGTGTTTGTTGTCATATTCAACATCAATTAGATGTGACTGGCATCCACATCCTCTATCATTGATGAACACATATCGACCATTAAAAAGGATCGGTGGAAAATAGTAAAAATAACGGACAAAACTATTTCTATAATCATTAGAAACTATTGTACGATTCCGACTAAAGTGCCTTTCAAAAAAAAGTGTCCACCCATGTTTGATAGTGGAAAAATGAAACAAACAAGAAATGCAGATAGAATATATACTGGTGACAATAACTTCTACCAGATCTGTACTAGTGATGAGGTTGTTGAACTGGAGATGATGGCAGTCGGCGTAGAAGGCAAACATGACGATTCCTATCATGCAGCACATGCTGACGATGAAGATCAGACCGATCAGGTTCACGAAAAGAGCACTACAATCCAACATAGGAATTGTTTCAATCACAATGTACTCATTTACCTTATTTGATTATAATTCGATCATTCTAATCATTCCCACTAACGGCTTGACGTATGTTCAAAACGTCAAATCCAGTCTAAGTCTCTAATATCTGCCCAAACATTCCATTGGTCATTAAAGTTAAAATAGAGAAATAAATGATGAAAAGTATGCGCATGGATCACTGAAAATCAGTTATGACACCAGGTCAAGTCATTTACTAAATACATTGTGCATTAATTTAAGGTACATATTAATATTATTCTTAGTCGGATTCAACGCCACTTTGAAATTCAAATGTGTAAACCAAGGATCACAATCGAGGATGCAAAGTTCGTAGATATAACATCTTGACATATAAATTACATTCATCTTCCTTTTTCACAGAACACTAGGCGTTGAAATTCAAACATCCATAACTAAACCAATATGATATGTTTGTGGTATAAAACCCAGATCACCCAAACATCTGCTCACATCTGGGCCTTTCTGATGGACGGACAGGAGAGTGCCCTCTGTACTTGTGCCTGATTGACGCCATAGTTGCTCAGCCACAAAGAGCCTCCGCCAATGAGGATGGTCCATACTGAATGCCGAGTAGTGGGATCAACGCTGAAACTGGAGACATGCAGCCAATATTTACCTTTTATTATTTTGTTTATGGTTATTTCTCAAAAACACACTCGGTGACAAAAAAGAAATAATTGCAATACAATATCGTTTTAAGGAATTGCTTTACACTGGTCACAAAACAGTACAGTCGGTAGGGTATAAAAAACTACAATCAATGACCAGTTTTCCAACTAATATAACATAAACCACCAGGCAAAAGGAAGTATACATTTAAAAATTGGATTTGACCAAAAAATTACTAACGTTACTGAAACGTTGCTACTCTGAAAACAGTCTGAAACGCTGCAGACTTAAGGATCAAAACACAGCAAGTACATCACCGTCGAATAACCATTTCTTATTCGTCTCATCCTTAACCACCAACCGACATTAGTGGGCGCTTTCTTTTGCCTGACACTTTACCAATCTCACAGAGTCTGTGACATGCCATTTCATCTTTGTAGTGCTATTTCAAGACAACGACGGGATAATGTAATTTGGAGAAAATATCCTGAACAAACGAACTAATCTGTCAACGTAGGGGATCATCCCGAATATATTCGGGTAGGGGTTCATTTGTAGCGAGATCACCAATTCATCTTTCGAGAAACATTCACATTCCATGATAACTTGAAATAAGTATGATCGATGCGTCATTTTTTTATTCACAAATCAGCAAATGTTTTAAACACAAAAAGCCTCAAAACAAAAGTAATGAAAGTACCGATACCCAAACAATAAGCGCAATCGAATAAATAGAATGTTTCGCACATTGTGTTCTCACCGATTACTGAACTCAATTTGTGATGTAGATGATGTAGGCCTTTGTCACATTTCCGTTGTTGAAAGAAAGAGGAGTATGTTTCAATCCCTTAATCCCACTCATAATCATGCTTACTAGACGGCGAACGGAGGGGCAAATATATAATATACATGTATGATAAAGCTTCAATGCTATCGCACTCAGCTTAATCACTGACGCCCTCAATGATTTCCCCATCACATTGACTTTCTTATTACCTTGTGATCCTATTTGTTTAAACATGAACAGTCTGTATAAAAACTGACATGCCCTTGAGCCCGTGAAGAATCCGGGTAAGAATAGGTCTTCTTCAACGCATGCTTGTCTAAGGGGCGACTAAACGGGATCGGGTGGTCAGGCTCGCTGATTTGGTTGTCATCGTATCCCAATTGCGTAGATCGATGCTCATGATGTCAATCATTGGAATATCTGGTCCAGATTATTTTTTTTACCCATCGATCATTTACCGAACGCCGTCATGAAGCTGGAATATTGCTTAGTTAGCCATTTCTTCAACCTGTGGTAATGAATGTTTGTTCGCATCCCATCATACAAGCCTAACATGACAATATTATACATACTATATATTGTTACGCAGAAATTGTCTTACTCGTGGAAGTAAATCCTAGATCTGTTGGCGGCGATGTCCCAGGCGTTCTGGAAGCCGCCCATGACGATGGAACCCTGAATTAGTACCGCAAACAACCCGGCAGCGATGACTACTGCCTGCAGTGTGTCTGTCCACAACACAGCCTTCATGCCACCCTGTATAGAACAGATCAGTGATATTTATGAATAAACTTACATGTACTCAAAAGTAAATAATAAGAGTGAGTGAGTGGTTAGGTGAGTGAATATGGTTTACGCCGCTTTTAGCGATATTCCAACAACATCACGGCGGAGAACACCAGAAATGGGCTTCACACATTGTACCCATGTCGGGAAAAGAACCCGGGTTTTCGGCGAGCGAACGCTTCAACCAATAGGCTACCCTACCGCCCCGGTAAAAGCGGCGTCAAACCATACTCACTCACTCACCTCTACCGCCCCGCAAATAATGAAAAGCATAGGAAATTCATTTTGCCAGTCTCCTATTTCTCATGATGGTAATGGTCTACGTAAAAAAAATAATAATGCTTATATTGGTGACATTTGGAATTTATCAACCGTTTAGAGAAAATATCACATTAATAAAGGTGAAGATAGCATCACATGGGTATCCATGGCTTTCTCTCGTATATCGTGTGATTGACCTAGACATGGTATCCTAAGCGTTATGAATATTCAAAGGAAATACATTGTTTGTTTGTTGTTTACGCCGCATTTTCAATATTCCAGCTATATGACGGCGGTCTGTAAATAATCGAGTCTGGACCAGACAATAAAGTGGTTGACATTATGAGCCTCGATCTACGAAACTTGGATAAGATGACAGATATCAACCAAGTCAGCGAGCCTGACTACCCGATCCCGTTAGTCGCCTCTTACGACAAGCATAGTCGCCTTTTAATAACCTATTCTCAGAAATATAGATGTCTTCGTTTGGACTAGAGGACCGGGTCTTTAGGGTCGCTGACTTGGTTGATGCATGTAATCTTATCCTAATTGCGTAGATCAACGTTCGTGATGTCAAACACTGGATTGTCTCGCCCAGACTCATTTATTTACAGACCGCCGTCACATTCTTGGAATATTGCTAAGTGCGGCTTTTAAGAAAAAACGAGAAAAACAACCCAAATAAATAAACAAACAAACAATCAAACAAACAAACGGGAAGGGTTTTGTTTAAAGCCGCTTTATACACGATTTCGAAATATCCCAGTGTGTCAACTTAATGTAAGACGAATGCCCAAAGTACAGGTGACTTTTGTCACTTTGTGGAACTCACAAACACCGGATATGCAGCTGAAACATCAAGATTTCTAAGCGAGACGAATATGGGAAGCACACGATCAAAACTTATATATAAGGGACACAACTCCACACAGCTTGGATCCGACTGGCCATGAGCGCATTTGAGTAGGACCTATGAGGGGATCTATTATAACCTCAGGTGCGGCATTCATTGTCGCTGGGTATATATTGTCGCATCATCGTCGGCGACGGTATATGCCGGGGTGGAGTGATTTGAGCAGTGATTTGGAAGGCCACAGCTATGATAGATGATTAGACGACTCAGGATATTGTTAATGCGGACACCATTATGGAGATATTTTGATTATCTTTAAGTGTCCTCAGTGTACGCTTATGAGATGTAATTGTTATTTCCAAACCAATATATATGATCTTAAACTGTTTTATATCGAAATACAAATTGAACTGAAGATATTAATGTACGACCAGAAACCAGAAATGTTTTATCTTTTGAAATTGGTAGTTTTGGAATATACCTCTGATACATGAGTTATAAATTAGTGATAATACAAGTGATATACTGGTTAGACATAAGATTGCTGCATTACTATTTATCTGTAAAACTTTGGAATGCCTGTGTTCATGTATATATTTGTCTTTATTACACTTGTTTGAATACCACTTCTATTTTGCTAAGTATGTTTAATAAACTATTCTGGGGCGGTCGGGTAGCCTGGTGGTTAAAGCGTTCGCTCGTCACGCCGAAGACCCGGGTTCGATTCCCGACTTGGGTACAATGTGTGAAGCCCATTTCTGGTGTCCCCCGCCGTGATGTTGCTGGAATATTGCTAAAAGCGGCGTAAAACCAAACTCACTCACTCACTAATAAACTATTCTGTACAATGCGGGATATATATTGATATAGGGGAGAGACCCTGGGCAACCCTGTTTATAAATACCAATCCACTACACATATGGTTGTAGAAATAAATACAGTTTAACGTATATCATTTCTAACTACAAATACATTTCCACTACGACGTTCTACTCTATAACATGTTTTGTACATACAACTTTGGAAAATCTCTAACTAGCAACATGCACCATTGCTCAATGTGATCAAAAAGTGTATGGAGTTTCGTGAAGCTAGACTGTATGGTGTTCGAGATATGCTCCGGAACATATATGATTACAGACGGACAGACTGACATACTGACGACTACATATGCCCCCGTCGTTATATGTCAAGTCTCACATGTTTTCTACAAGTGTAATGATGATCATCTTGATCAACATGACCATCATCATCTACTACATCGTCATCTCCAAGTTTATGTTTTTTGCTCTGACGAATGCCGACAATATGTGCATTGAACCTCGGCAAATATATGCTGTAACAACCCCGCAGGGTGGCTGGATTAACAGGTACAGGTCTAGTGCGAGTGATGTCAGCCGCGTGAAGGTTTGTTTGAATGACCTAATTCCAGTTTTGCTGGGACTACAGTTAAGTACTTGCCTAGGTCCTCGATGACACTTAAACCATCAATGACCATAACACACGCGAAGTAGGGGGTTATGTAAACATGCGCTATGTGAATAGAAGGATCTCTTTGAGGAAAGTGGGTTATACCTTCACAATACTGTTTACGTAAGTCTGATTTTAGCGGGGGATTTGTAGTGGCATATATCCATGGCCACTGCTTAGTGACAATTGTCAGTTCTTTGCGAGACATTGTATACGTAATTTGTGCCTCGCGTGAAACTAGGACATTTTCTGTTTGAAAATAGGGTAATCGTTTGCAGTTAGGGTGGTATACATACTTAAATTGATGTGAACAGAAAAAAGGTCTTTGAACAAGTTGAATTAGATTATACAAGGTTCTGTACAGAAGGCTACAGCGAGTGAGTTAGGTTAGCGCTGCTTTCACGTCTTCAATTCTCTCGCCACAAGCATAGTTTTGGTTGCCAACATGCCAGGGATCGGGAGAACCTGAGATTATAAACCGTGATCAGCGGATCCTGGCACGGCTAAGAGACAAATTGTGATATGATTCATGTTTTCTTGAATGACAGAGTTACGAGTTAGAATGTGATCATATTTATGATTACGAGATGAGCAAAACGTGTGATTTGACAAAAAGTGCCAATTAATCTGTTTATTACGTATGTGATCTAACGCTACAGTAAAACTCTGCGTAAAGCGTTATTTCACTCGATTTTATTTTTTTTCAAACGGATAGAGGATTACTAAATACGTAAAAATATGTGTATTCCACTAATGAACTATTTAATCCGACATAGTCCCTTTAACGTACTATTATTTTCATCAGGTAGTGACAGTATCGTATTCAAGAAAATAACTCACCACAGCTGTGTAAATTGTAGCGATGAGGGCCACGGAGACCAATAAACCCCAAAGGTTTATTCCTGTCACTGTAACAAGATAATGTTTAAGGTATTTACATGTAATTGCGTATTTAATACCTCCTAAATAGGACCGTCTCCGTGGCCTAGGGGTAGAGCGTCCGCCCGGAGAGCGGAAGGTCCTGGGTTCGATCCCCGGCCGGGTCATACCGAAAGACGTTAAAAGATGGTACTTGTTGTTACCCTGTTTGGCGCTCGTCAATAACGACAAGGACTGGTCGGCTCGGAGTCAGTATACTGTGTCTGAGTGGGGTATTCGTGTTTAACTGCGGCATGGTACCTCAGTGGGCTAGCACTATAAATCGGCATCAGTCCGGACTAGTACAAGCAGCCATACACACTCACACACGTGCATGCACGTCGCTATATAGGTGCAATAATTTTGAACGCGACGTTAAACCCCATTTCACTTCACCTACGAAATAATATTTTAATGACACAATGCCTGTTTCGATATGGCACATACATTATATTTCTATGATTATTAAATGTACACTATTTACTTCAAGATAAAGGTTATACGATACCTTCAAGATTAATGTCAGACGTTATAAGGATTATCGTGCCTTGAATAAACTGATCATCTGAAGATGTTTGTTGTTTGACGCCGCACTCAGCAATATCCCAGCTATATAAACATGACGTCGGTCTGTAAATAATTGAGTCTGGACCAGAAAATCCAGTGACTAACATCATGAGCATTGATGCATCAACCAAGTTAGCGAGCCTGACCACCTGATCCCGTTACTCGCCTATTACGACAAGGTTGGGATACTGGGGACAAATTGTGATATCTGAAGATGAGTTGCATATTTTTGACAATCAAGATATTCTTGGCATTCCATGATTATACCAAGACTGATGATTAATGATATAATATTTTTTGTATAGATAGAATACAATATAGCAGTCCTATCAAAGGTCTGCCTGGCATCGATCGATCCGTAACATACAATAATGTTAAACTTAATTGACACATGCACAATGTAAGATGTGATAGCATGAAAGGTATGACATAAATCTCATATGTAAATATGTGATGAACTTTTCTGGGTGTAGAAACTGTCCTAAATATTCTTCCCAAGGACAACGAGAACTGAGGAAGGTTTTTAGGTTAGACAAGAATCATTGCTATTTTATGCAAATTGTGCGAGGGGCGGGTTCTCCTGGTAGAGCGGACCATGCTTACCCTTTTCACGAAGACCCGATGTCACCACTGATTTTCAGTATTGTCAGTTTCATATACTTTTCACCACTAGTTTGTCTTTTACGCCCAGTGGAATCATGTTCGGCAGACATTCAAGACTGATTATTTTCTGGCGTGGGCGTTTTATATATCTGAGTTATGTCAAAATGTTTTGCCAAACATTTGTGTATACAATCTTATATTAAATCTTATACAAATTTTATTATATCCATTTATATGTTTAATTTCAAGACTAATGCTTAGGGATGCCTGAATAGATTCAATCCCATTGCGCCTACACCCCATTTTGCCAACAGAAATTACTGTATGCACATTGGGAAATATTTTTGTAAATGGACTGAACCACTTTTGTTTGGCGTATTATTTCATAAGAGATAAGCCTCTCTCTCGGAGAGATAAAAGAAAGTAAATTAATATGTCAATATCTGTTGCCCAATCAAGTGATGCTTGTACTGTTGCAGATAAAAACAACGTTAGTAATTAAGAAAAAACCGATAGAGGAAATAAGTTCTTATAACTGTATAAACATGAACAACAAAATAAATAATATGGAACCAATCACATCACTTAACTATTTTTGAAGATCAATACAATTTACGTTTAAATCCATTGTCGTACAAATACACTCTTCAAAAAAAGAAACGCACAGGTAGAGTTTTAGTAAATTTATTGTACCTAATAATGTCGATATATTTAATTTAATATCATAGATACAAATATGAAATTTTGGAGCTCGATAGTTACATGTTGTCGTTGTACAATGGATTGAAAACTGTTCATTGTCAGTTCACATAAGGCCACAAGGTTGGCTGAACTCAGTATCTCGTGTGACCGCCCCGGGTAGCAATCACGGCTCTGCATCTCCTCGGCACTGACTGGATAAGTGTTCGAATTCTGTCCTGCGGAATTCTGCGCCATTCTGCTTGTAACGCGTTTGCCAGTTGTGGGAGTGTCTGCGGCGTGTTCTGACGTTGACGTACACTTCTCGACGGCCAGGGCAGGACGTTGATGTTGGCATTATGAGGGTAGTCTACCGTAACACGAGCTGTGTGCAGTGGAGCGTTGTCCTGTTGAAACAGCTCCCTCTGGCGGTCAATGATTAAAGAACGTGAGTTGAAGAATTTGATTCATGTAGCGATTTGCTGTCAATTGTCCCTAAACCACAACCAAGTCAGATCTCGTGGTGTATGATATGGCCCCCCACACAATGACACTACTTCCCTAGAAATTGTCGAATTAACGTATATAATGTGGGGCAAAACGCTCATTTCGACGACGATAAACATCTCTTCCATCTGGTCTTCTGGGTCGGATTTAAGCCTCGCGAAGATGGTACCTGACAGTCTGGTCCAATATCCTTCTCAAACCAGGGATGCATCCTGCAGTCTCCGTAGCTGTTGCATTGCGATGACGGAGATGGAACAGTCGAATGTAGCAATCCTGTGCAGGGGTGGTAACTCACTCTTCGTAGGCCGGTTCTCGAACGGTCTGCAGTGGAAATGAACTGTGTGTATCGGTCACAAAGGCGGCAAATGTTGCTGTGGTGGACGTTGAAGTGGCGTGCAACAGAAGACTGCGATTCCCCTCTTTGGATACGTTCCGATCGGCATCGCTGAGTCTCGGCATTTTCGAACTTGAAAAATTTGACAATTGAATGACAAATTACTGGCTTATGCTTGCCTTTTTATAGCCACCATCACGAATGCCATAACTTTCACTAACATTTTGCTTTACTGTTTTCCCTCATGACATTTTTGAACAAGTGTGAAAACAATGCCGTTTAAGGCATTGCAAATCGTCAATGGTTGCGTTTTGACCCACCGTTTTTAGAATATCAGGCCACCAACATTTTCCAATCACAAGTATCCAATTTATATTCCGGATTTTCTGTGTAGCCAGGTTCAGTGAACTACATACTACATGTACCTGTGCGTTTCTTTTTTTGAAGAGTGTAAGCCAGTTCTTAAGCAATTAACAGTAGACTGAGTATACTGAGCATTACTGTATATACAGCAAGAAAATAATATGGAACAAGTCACATCAATTAACTAGTTTTTATGATTATATTTCACAAGTGTTTCCCATCGTGCCTACTTTGTTTCATTGTCTCAGTATGGACAGGTTAATGTCATATCACAGGTGAAACGTTAACAGGCCACAGTCAAGTTCATTCGTGCATAACTTTCTGAGCATCAGACCGTATCATTTTACTGTAGGCACAGTGTGACCGTGGACACATAAGGAAGACACCGTGAATGAGCGAATCATAGTCTGAGATATAATCTACTCTCTTTGTCGCTGTGATGATTTATGTGTCGAAGACATCATTCAATTTACCCACCTGCATTCAAAGCAAGCGACGGGGCGTATAACACAAGGGACATATATACCAACTGAAATGAAAAGGACAGAAAGACATGAGTTGGATTGTTTACATATGTATCACACACGAAAAGAAAGAATTATATTTTTAGCTATTATTACAGTAAAGAACAGACAATTCCATCATCTAGTGGGTTGCCTGGGATTTGTAAAAAAATAGAGAAAGCAAAATCCAGATGGAGGCTAGCATTCTTAAAATGCACAACAATAATTTCTCACTCAACAACTGCAAAACAATTTGAAACAAACAAACAAACAAACAGCAACAATACCCCACCAAAACAAAAACAATATAACAACTCAATTAAATAATATGTCCCAAAATAAAATAGTGTTTTTCGCGAAAACCTGATTTTCAGTGATCCATTCATATAATTTTCACGGCTATTTTGCCTTTAACGGCCAATGGAATCTGTTTCAGTGGATAATCAAGACTAGTCATGTTCTGGCTTTGACGTTTCATATTTAATTTTTCATTTTGACAGCATGTAATCACTTTTAACAGTGGGCCTGGGACTATGTTCACACTATCGATCACTGCGTTTATTTGGTCCAAACACGAGAGTGCAATAGACGGATTATTGCTGGCGGCGTTAAACGTAAGAAACTGTCATACTGTTAGTAATAATATATAGACACGGTTGATAATTCGATGTAAACATACCGTTAGAGTCAGAAACATGACGACGCCTAGTATGCGGACAGCTTTGTTGAATCTCATCTCAAGATACTGGAACAAAATAGGGGTTATTCTCTACCTATGTGAAATGGCACGACATTGATACAGCTGTTAGGTCAACTTCACATAAAGCTCCATCCGATATGTAACCATCAATATAAAAAGTGGAAACATAAAATAAACAATAGGCATGAACTAAACAACAGGAATGGATAAAACAGATATCATGAAGAGACAATTCCCATGAATTCCAACATTATTTTATCCTTTGTATTAGATATTTATATATCTTAATTCAGATGAGAAAGAATCTCACCTCAAACACGCTTGTGACTCCCAGTTTGAAGAAGAACGGAATGAACACCACTCCTGACATAAGTATCGCCAACACAAACGATGCACATAGCCACCAGTACATTGTCGTGTAATTGTAGATCTCGGCCGGCGTCCCGAGCAACGTCAGCGCCGACATGAACGTCACCAACAACGACAAAGCTACAGGGATGGCATACATCTTGCGACCACCTAAGAGGTACTCCTCAGATTCCATTTTTTTTCTGTCCTTGATGGCAAAGACGAGTCCGATCCCTAACGATGCAGCCAAGGTGAGAGAGAAAAGGACATAGTCGACGACTGAGAACGCCTTTGACTTGCCGGTGTAGAAGCTGTAATCCACATCCATGTCGTTCATGACACTGAAGCAACTCGACTGTTCAGACAGTGTGCAGTGTATTTCTGCTGACAAGAGACACACTTATGTACAAGCCAAAATCTCTCGACCTGTGAACTTGACATGACATGTGTTGTAAATATACATATATTATAGCACACCGTATACACCAGCCAGAATTGATAGTTCCTTTGTGCAGATCCGGCAAGAAGTTATATTGCCACTACTTGAATAATAAAATGACATTTACCAGCAGAAGAAAACACGTGTGCACCATAAAAATAATCTAAAATATTATTGTCATGGAGGTTTGTTTTGCAGAATCATGCATGATAATCCCATGTACCAACACTTTGTCATGTTATGTGTGAGGCGAAATGGGGTTTAACGTCGCGTCCAAGATTATTGAACTTATATAGCGACGTGCATGTACGTGTGTGTGTATGACTGCTTGTACTGTCCGGACTGATGCCGATTTATAGTGCCAGCTCACTGAGATACCATGCCGCAGTTTAACATGAATACCCCACTCAGACACAGTATACTGACTCCGTGACGACCAGTCCTTGTTTTAGCGCCAAACTACCGAGCGCCAGGCAGGGTATTTATTTTAACATCTTTTGGTATGACGTGGCCGGGGATCGAACCCCGGACCTTCCGCTCTCCGGGCGGACGCTCTACCTCTAGACCAGGGAGGCGGTCCCTTAGTCATGTTAAGTCATGACGACCCAGAAATTGCACTTGCACTCCCGGACATTGCATGCATTAAATCCCATGAGTAAGAAGTCGCATGATGAACGAGAGAGGGACACACGATGAACGGGGTTGGGGTTTGGAGGGGAGGGAGGGGAGAGTCGAATGATGAACGAGAGAGGGACACACGATGAACGGGGAGAGAGTTGCATGCTCTATATATGCACGTTATGACGAACTACGGTTATGACGAACTAAAATTAGTGGTCCCTTTGAGTTCACGAAAAACTGTTTGCGTTACGACCTCTCGTCTGTACGACCTAGTTTCGGACGTCATGTCATGCTTTACGACTCTTACAATAAAACTATCGTCTGCCCGTCGAAAACTCCTCTTCAGATAAGAGTGATTTTACGGTTTGCGACATTAAATGTATTTGTTTTGGGCGAGCTATTGAAATGAAACAGATAAATGTACCACGGGAACATCGTATTTATTTCCTCCCAATATCGATTTACATTCATTATTTCACAGTACAAAATAGAAACCAGTTGCAAATATCCCAAAAGGTATTATGAAGTATGGGTACATGTAACTAGATAATATGTAAACTTGAACATTGAATTTGACCAAAACAATACAAACGTTATCAAAACGTTACTAGGCTGAAAACAGTCGCCGAAACACTGCAAATGTATGGTGTAAAACACAACCATCATATCCCTCTCAAAGACATCACCAGACATTCCAGAAACAAAACAAAATTAATTCTTCGAAGATAAAAGCGACAAACCATTCCCATAATCAGAAGAAATCTCTTCCGATTCCAACTTTATCATAATCACGTGTTTGTGAGCCTGCAGCTGTTTCAAAGGACTCTGGGGCGGTCGGGTAGCCTAGTGGTTAAAGCGTTCGTTCGTCACGCCGTAAACCCGGGTTCGATTCCCGACATGGGTACAATGTGTGAAGCCCATTGCTGGTGTCCCCCGTCGTGATATTGCTGGAACATTGCTAAAAGGGGCGTAAAACCATACTCACTCACTCAAAGGACTCTGATATGCTAATGGTGCGGAGAAATGTGCAGTTCATCGTACAAATGTTGTTGATAGAAAACCTGATACGGCTTGGCTACTCAACCAAACCTGTCACTTGATTCAGTTTGACTGCAATTTCTCGGCCGCAATCAGGAATTATGTGCTCGGTACATTAATCATATTTTGTGACACATCTTTTGAGTTAAACACATGCTCACTACTGTTTAATCACTGGTACAGAACTCTTAATCTCCCAGCTTGCCTGGGCATTTTGCAATGGGTAGACATCGAGCCTGCAGTCACTACAGTGTGCTCGGTACATTAATCATATTTTGTGACACATCTTTTGAGTTAAACACATGGTCACTACTGTTTAATCACTGGTACAGAACTCTTAATCTCCCAGCTTGCCTGGGCATTTTGCCATGGGTAGACATCGAGCCTGCAGTCACTTCGACATAGTTGTTAATCCCTTCAACAAGCTGGTTAAGTGGGAATGAACCCACGAATCACGAATTACTTACTGTCAAACTGTCTTTTCAGCTGAAAATATATAACTACAAAAGAACATGATGGCTTCTTAAATCAGTATCGTGATCGTTTCAAAACACATCACAATACATTTGTCTCACAGTAACATCGTCTGTCCAATTCAAGCAATGAAGTAATGTTATTATCGAATTAGATAATGTTTGGGCGCACGCGTATCAGCTTTTCATCCTTTTGAAGACCTCTTTAGCAAAATGCGCAGATCACGACGGCCGCCTTAGAAAACCACAATTGTCGAAAGGCGTCAACAATTTTAGCTATGCGGTCATTTTCAGTGTGACGTAATTCCGACCTTACGTCAGACAAGATTCCAGTGACATCAACACTCCCGTCTGGAGGACGTACAATGTAAACAATACACTGGTGTGCGTCAAGTGATATTTGCACTGGAGCACACACGATTTTTATGAACTCGGTTGTTTCTCATCCTATGGGTAATAAATCAAACTTATTATTCACTGTTAGTTATGCTTTCTTGTGGCACATATACAAAAAGAAAGTAATTTCCTCAACACACATGATAAAGCTATTATAACACGAAGCATCAAGCTTTTGTGTGCAGTAAAGTCATCGGGAAATAAAGAAATATTACATCATGACAGTTGGTTAATCTCACCCAACATCTGATGCTATAAGTATCATCCTCGGCACACAGGGGAATAGGCGGTCAATAAGAGGACAAATCAGGGTTTTAGGATCCGTTTTCCCAGTAACGAATTAAACCATGACTAAGGGTCAGTATTATTATGACAGATCCAGCATAGATTAGCATAATGACATTTAGGGAGAATCCCCGAAAACCTAAGCAATCGCCTTGCCAGCGGATGGAAGAGACTTTGCCTCCTTCGTCTCCAATACTCACCCATGGTTTCAACTCGCTCAACCAAATCAGGTGGTTCTGCTTCAAAATGAGATACATTCTTTCAAGAGAGGATGGAACTGGAGCCTTTCTGATCTGGAGTCAGAAGCCTTGTAACCCAGCGTGCTGAAACCTTTGTCATGTCCAGTTCATTTCTCAGAACTCTCTCACCAGGAGTATCATCCATTGAAGTCGACATGATGGGCCGTTGGAATCAGTTCTTTCATTTGGAGATACTTGATGACAGCGCGGAAACGAGTTATGTCCATTTTCATCAACAAGGAATACTTTTGATGACTGCAGACGTATACTGCCTTGTGTATTTGGCTCAAATGCAGCTTACAAGCATGGAAAGTATTGTACTTAACACATGCAAATCGTGAAGTGGGCACTATACATCTTTCGTAGTTAGGGTCAGAACTGTTCAGCCAACCCTCGTTTGTTGTTATCTTAATAAAAAAATTCACAAGTATTTTATCTGACTACAGTCTGAAGAATAGTTGTGTATCGAGTACATATCTGAATGTAATTATTTCTATGCGGATTTTATAACTCCCCTTGACAAGGGCTTGTGGTGCCTCCCGACGCTTTCTCGTGTTTGCAAAGGGCAACTTAATACTGTTAAATGTACATTCATACAGACAGACAAACAAACAAAAGTATGTTATGCAACAAAATCCGATCTCATCTGGAATACACTTGTGATTCCCAATTGTAGAAGAATGAAATGAATATTACCATTGAGAGGATTATCGCAACTACAACAGGTAAACACAGAAACCAGTACATGGTCGTGAAGGTGTACAACTCGGCCGCCGTTCCCAACAACGTCAGTGCTGATATAAACGTCGACATTATTGACAAAACTACAGGTATAACACATCTGTCGCACAAATAACAGGTACTCATGGGAAGAGCGTTTCTTTCTGTCCAGGAGGGCGTACACTATTCCGACCCCTGCCGCTATGGGGATAGCGAGGCCGAAAAGAACATAGTCGACGACGGAAAACGTCTTTGTCTTTCCAGTGTAGAAGTTGTAGTCCTCAGCCATGACGCAAATTCATAGAGTAACTACTTAAAACGAAGTTAGATTTAACCCTTTCATATCTCCGAGAGACCAGCAACGTTATGTAAACACACTATGTTCATGTATTTACCTTTTGTTATATATTTATTTCTCGTGTGACTCAAAGGTAGGCTGTTCCAGAATACACATGTCAGGCTTTATTTATTTATGGAGTGCTCGTGTCCACATGCACTTGCTTAACACTTTAACTTTTGTAGATTCTAAATATTATATTTCTTGATAAATGATTCAGTACAACACGTGAAATGATCTTTTTTGTAGGTCATGATCAGATCTGCAGGAGCAGAGATTTGTGTTCTCAGTATGCCATATGGAGATATAAGTTCTTTCCCCAGCTATTTTTAGTTCATCTCAAAAGTGTAAATGGTCATGCCCACCCATTCTGAGAACACCCGGAGTCACATTTTCCAGTGGTTTGTTGATGCCGGAAATGTAGATACCAGTATATGGCCATCGTATGGAAGGTGTTATTATTGCTAGAAAGAATGTAAGAAGTCATTGTGCATTTACATGTCCAGGCGTGACAATCTGTTCCATACCAAACAGCTGGTGTTTCAGGAAAGGAAGCAATGTCAGTGTTGCTTTGTTGATGGTTCTGTACTGTTGGATGGGACAGAAATGAGTGTCAACCAAGCGAAGTGCCATATCAAATTGGCCCAGACTCAGGTTTTCAAGGATAGGCTATCTGAACGACCAGTGCATCGAGTTTATGTACAGTGTATTGAGAAGATCAGCAACCCTACAGAATCCTTCGCTGGATGAAGTCGGCTGGTCTGAAAGTGGAACAGAAGGCTTTCTGTTTGCTGCTCAGGACTAGTCACTTCCCACTCGAAACCGTCAATGTGTGATTTTGCATCAAAATGTAAATATGAAATGTAGATTATACAATGAATTTAACGACTGTCCAACACATTGTCACAAATCTTGGCACAAACACAGTTTCTTTGCTAAACTTATTTATTTTAATCTATAAATAATAATAATAATAATAATAATCTTTATAAGGTTAAGAACCGCATTGTCCTCTCATCCTATGGGGTACCGATTCACTGCTAGGTGAACAGAAGCACATTTCGAACAAAGCCACTTGTTATACGTGTGTTTCAGTGTGGGGCAGGACCGGAGCCCCGGGGACTCTCAGGAGTCAAACTGCCGGAACGCGGTCACCTGTCCAAGGATTCTCCGCATCTGTCGTTACTTAACGTCACCTGAATTGTGACCTGCGCGCTGTGCACATGACCACGTGCCATCATTATAATGATGTTAATTATGATGTTAACTCTAATTCTATTCTCGATTTGATATTAAATAGTAACAATATCATAAGGGTAACGCTCTTTTTTAAGGCATTATCATTTGCAGAAGCTCGAGGTTTTCCATTAACTGCCCGACGAAAGAGGGCAGATGAAAAGACCGAGGGCTTCTGCAAATGATAATGCCCTGAAAAAGAACGTTACCGTTATTATAGCTGAAATGGATGGAATTTGTTATGAAATAAAAAGAAACAACAATATCGGTTTTGAAACATTTACTGCAATCAACACGAATGTCACTGACCCACTTTTACAAATATGGAAACGTCATAGAACAAACCAGATGACGTCACTATTAAACCTGACGTCACTATCCCTACCCTATGACGTAACCTCACAACGGACGTGATAATGGCCCGTCGTCACGAAATATGAGGGCATTATCAAGTTACAGTGTTCCGCCGATTTCTGATAACATGTGGGCGTTTTAATGATAATTCTATCCATTTTAGCTATAATATGTCTCATATAACGCTAAATGGGGACATGACAAATCATTCTTTAGATAATCGCATCAATGTGCATTAAAATGCATGTTCAGCTCCAAATGAAGAGGATATTTGATAGAGAGACATAAACCAGAGATATATTCTTTATTTCTTCTAAACATTTCATAACTATAGCAAAATCACAAGCGTTCCGTTATTGATGAAGTGTAATATACATGAACGGTGTTGAACTATTTACGACATAGGTATGTGAGATATACTATTTGAATGAAGTAACTTAGCTGACCCTGGGGGCGAGGCATTACTGTCAAATTCTACATGTGGAACATCCGCAACAATTGTTTATGTTTATATTTATATATTCATGGTTTAATGGTCAGTCTTATTCTAAAAAGTGACCATCCGATTTTATTCTATTCTGTTAATTGTTTGAAAAAATCGGCTTTCTTTGCCAGGACACGAACACGTAAGTGATTATATATGGAATCAATATTTTTGAATTAGTTGAAATATGAGATAAGTAGTTGTGAGTAGATGCGAGTCACCCATACAGGGAAAACATACACTAGATAACTAACTAACACTAGATATATATAAAAATAGAGATAAAATAAACTAACGAGCCAAAGAAACGCTACCAAACAATTTTCTTGTCTAAAACAAAACAGACGCAAAATTTAGTAACAGTTGATGTTTTTTTATGACAATTATTCAAAAACGGTATTTGAAAATGACAAGATCACACCCGCAGAATCGACGTCGATCTCATTTTAAAGTCCCTAGCTACACACGTGGCTCAATATCGGATGTGACCCCCTAACATGACATCGAACTGAGTACACGAGTCTCCTAACATCCTGATTAGAGATCCTACGTCATTCTTCCTACAGGACAGTTGCAAAGGCATCCCTCGTCAATGGCGGCTGTTGACGTTTCCGAATCCTGCGTCCAAGCTGGTCCTAGAGGTGCTCTGTGGGCGACAGGTCCGGTGATCTGGCTGGCCACTGTAATACGGTCACGTTGTTGGCGTTCAGAAAGTCGCTCGTGACTCCGAGCTGTGTGAGGGGTGGCGTTGTCCTGCTGAAACAGCGCCCGTGGGTGTAATTGCAGGAAAGGCAGCACCACATGCCGCAAAACCTCATCAATGTAACGACGTGGTGTGAGACTTCCGTCGATGGTGACCAGATCTGTCTTCTGGTCCCAGCAGATGCCACCGCAGACCATGACACTACCACCTGCATAAGGATCCACTTCTTGGACGCAACAACGTGACGTCCATTCACCACGTCGTCGGTAGATTCGGAACCCGCCCATCAGACTTGAAGAGCTGACACCTACTCTCGTCGCTGAAGAGCACTCTTCGCTAATTTCTCTGCTGTCATGTACGTTGTTTTAAACGGTTTCATGTGATGAGAGAGTACAATCCTGCTCATGTTTTATGCCAGAATTTCATACGGGTAACGTACCGCCCCGTGGTCTAGTGGTAGAGCGTCCGCCCGGAGAGCGAAGGTCAGGGGTTCGATCCCCGGCCACGTCATACCAAAAGACGTTAAAAGATGGTACTTGTTGTTACCCTGTCTGGCGCTCGGCATTAAAGGGCTAAAACAAGGACTGGTCGGCTCGGAGTCAGTACACTGTGTCTGAGTGGGGTATGTTCAACTGCGGTATGGTATCTCAGTGTGCTAGCACTATAAATCGGCATCAGTCCGGACTAGTACAAGCAGCCACACACACACACACACACGTGCATGCACGTCGCTATATAAGTGCAATAATCTTGGACGCGACGTTAAACCCCATTTCACCTCACCTCATACGGGTAACTTTGTGGACATTTTGCATTTTTTAGTGATTAGATTCACTTTTCTCGCAAATCACGTGAAGCCCGTGCACATGTTCACAGGGAATAGGTAAGTTGCATTCCAGCTATGTGTTACCAACCGTTTTCGTGCTGTTTGGCAAATGTATTGAAAACTGACTACCATTATTTATTTGGTGGCGTTTCTTTTGCCCCTCAGTTTAGATGCTAGTATTTATGTACAATGCTATTTGATTTCAGTTATAGTGTTGACATTGTGACAAATATTCTTTTGTTTAACACTTCAATCGTTATATATATTCATTTAAATTCTAATCTAAAATACACTATGTTAGTCATATGTGCAGATGCAATGAGGTAGTATACATCCTGAAATTAGGTTGAAAATTAAGATAATATTCTCGATTGGAAGAGTATGTATCTCTAAAATAGGTATGGGTTGAACATGTTCGTACCTATATATCTATATGCATAAACTACCTATGATAATACAAAGGTGGAAACGGGCAGTAAATACGCCTCAACAATAAATGGGAAATTAAAAGTCAATTTAACTTGAAATGGTAAACACAATTAAACGTATGGACCGTAAACGCTGGCTAATAATATACCATACTTGGTGTAAAAGTTAAAGATGAACAAAGTAATTAATTGGATAAAGATAAGTACTAGATGCATCTGGGAGGAGACACGCTTGCCTCTATTACAGCCGAATAGAAATAATGTCATGATCTGTAAATGCAATGTTGTTGACGCCATGTTTGCTTGCAAAATTGCCATCTCCATTTTCCTGTTTACGATCAGCCACATAAGGTGTTGTAGTCATCTCTGGGAACTTTGATGCATGGCCATTTACCACCGGTGTGGTATCAAGGTCGTATTTCTGTAAAGATAACCATTTTGATTACATGTACATGTGATTTTAATTAATGGTTATCCCTGTAATACAGGTGAAGATCTGGTTTAAAGGACATGGTAAATGTAAACCTATGTTCATTAAGCAGACAACAAGCAAATCCGGATACATATATGAAACCACAGAGTCTGAAGCACGTCCTGGTGCCATGGTCTACGCCAATCTAACTTGGCTGTTCACGGTGAGACAGTCTGAAGCACGCCCTGGTGCCATGGTCTACGACAATCTAACTTGGCTGTTCACGGTGAGACAGTCTGAAGCACGCCCTGGTGCCATGGTCTACGACAATCTAACTTGGCTGTTCACGGTGAGACAGTCTGAAGCACGTCCTGGTGCCATGGTCTACGCCAATCTAACTTGGCTGTTCACGGTGAGACAGTCTGAAGCACGCCCTGGTGCCATGGTCTACGCCAATCTAACTTGGCTGTTCACGGTGAGACAGTCTGAAGCACGCCCTGGTGCCATGGTCTGGGACAATCTATCTTGGCTGTTCACGGTGAGACACCTGCTTCCCGTTTTGTGCCGTAGCTGTGAGGCGACGCTGGAGTTTCGTCTCCAGGGCACGGGACTTGATGTGGACGGCCTGTTGTTGTCCCCTGCGGCAGGTACTCCCTCTCCGTGATAGTTCCAAGGGGAAGGCGAAGCTACTTGGTATCAGTGGCGTCGCAGGAGCTGCCAGATGGGTGTTGAAGACGACGCCAGATTGCCTTAGGGACCCCGACTCCGGATTTGCTTGTTTGCTTTACTGATTAGCCGTGGAGTGGGCACAATCAGCTTTCCTTCTAATTCGCTATGACATAACGTCGCTCATTATGATGGCAGTGTAGGCTACAGAAAAGCACCAAATATCAAAACTTGAAATTTATTCTCTCAGTCGAGTGTATTGCCCAAAATGTACTGCCACACATACTTTGAAAATTGGAGTAACCTCGATTCTGCACCTTGTAACCTATCATTGTTAATATCATTATTTCGAAATGCCTTTTGACAATGACGCGGTCTTCAAATTATTTGTTTAAATCTCACTAAACAAAATCCATCATTTTCAAAATTCATCAAAGAATCCTATAAAAGCATACCCCTTCTTGATTGATTCCAAATCTGAGAGGTCGGAGTATCATCTCCGGCAAACAGGGGAAGAGGCGGTCAAAAAGAGGGCAGATCAGACGAGGGTCCAGGGTTTTAGGATCCGTTTTTCCTTAAAAGAATCAAATAATGCTTTTGTATTCTACTATACTCGAGTGAATGCAGTCATTGTATACAAAAATAATTTGCTAGTTTTACATAATAATAATAATAATAATAATAATAATAAGGATAATAGTAATAATAATGATTATAATTTTTGATCGGATATATCCGTATATAAGTATAAGGTCGCGGCCTTTGCAGTATTGACCTTGAAATAATCCTCATTCCGTATCAATCTCTTTGATCATCGTATCCCAACTGCGTAGATCAATGCCCATGATGTCAATCACCAGATAGTCCAGACTTGATTCTTTACAGACCACCGTCATAAAGCTGGACCATCGCGGAGGGCGGCGTTAAACAGCAAACAAACAAAGCAACAAACCTTGTTTGACAGGCGCTTCCTGTATTTTACACGCATGATCCAACACCTTCTAGGTATTTCCTGTAACTACCCATTTGTTACTAGTTTGTTCCTATACAGGCGGCATATGCGAAGTAAGGGCATCTACTTTCCCATTTAAAAAATCTGGTTAAATCCCGGCTTTGATTCAAAATTTTGATTCGTTGTTATGCTCTGTACTTTTCAGTCCCCTGTCTCATATATTTGTAATAGAATTCAGCGAATTGGTTCGAAAAGTGTAACTTTAGATGTTGAACTGTCTAGTTATACATTGCGTTGTTTGTATGTTTGTTTGTTTGTTGTTTAACGCCGCACTCAGCAATATTCCTGCTTTATGTGGTGTTGGAGGAAATGGAAGTAGATGTCAATCAAGGGGGTCATTGTAAGGTCAACACTCAAAATGCCACGCCCCTAAACTGATTATTTGAATGTCTTTATTCTAATTTTGATAAAACATTTAAATATTAAAATGCATTTATTATGGTAAGTGTATACGTAACTTCCGTTGGGTTTTGAAAGTATTATACTATCTCGGTACGATCAGATATACATGTACATCCTGCATTATAATAACATGTAGGCGAAAGTAATATTTGATTATTTGTGAAGGAGAGAAGCACTAAAACATACAGCTGACACATGTCAATATCATCCTTCAATGTTAACAACGTGAAACATGTTGCAAATTTAAATAATGTTGTTATGGATACAATGCTCAACGTTCGCATCCTTAATTTTCTCTATCAATTACATTTTTTATTAACTATTTCTACCAATAGGCATTCCAACATTGTGTTGCTTGATTGTGCCATTTGAAGTCAGCATCGATGGAACCCACCCCTCAAAAAGAATCAAGCTCCTCACAAACAAGATAACAAATATATACTTAGTTACCTGTGATGAAGCTGACGATGAGCCCAACAATCACTACAATTGCCACTGACGTCGGGGTGTAGTTCAAATACGACAACGTGTACAGCGGATAGAAGGGGTCACTGGTGAAACAATACGGCGTTGAAGCTTAAGGGAACTGCAATCGCTCATGCACAATAGTTTACATGTCGGACTAGTTATTCGTATGTATTAATATTACACTGGCTTATGAGCCGATATATTGTGTACTGACGTGTTGGTTTTAATCACATCATATATGTATGTAACCCAGTTTATTTTCACCTTTGACACGTTTCCCTAAAACCACAGGAGAATTTATGGCATGAAACTCTTCTTCATTATGGATATCAAAGAACGTTCTCGTACTGAATAAATGTTTTTTTAAAATGTATCGAAAATCGATATCTTATTTCTAACGTTCATATTTTAAACACTATACATGTATGTCAGTATAATACTGTCTGACCTTGACTTTGGTGTCGGAGGAAGACCAACAGCCTCAGTTGAGTTCATGGTGGACATGGTGGTAGCGAGTGTCGTCATCGTCGTTGTAGTGATGTTCCAGTTGCAGCCGATAACAGACGTGGCAGATGGAATGGCATTAAATGCTCTATTGACGAACGCCGCTATGCAGATCCATAGCATGATCGCGAGAGACGTAAGAGTGCCAGCAATGGCACCCTGCAATAGTAACGTCAGTAACTCAGTACAATAGATTGAGATCGACTTCTTTGTATAATACCTTATTGGTGCTGATATGATGTCATGGCAGGGCTTGCCTATGCACACTTTCATTATGAAATATTTGAATTACACTCTCGCGCGCAAGTAGTACAAAACAAACTCAGTTCATTAAAACATTTACTGCTTCTTGGTGGGGCAGTGCAGTTCTGCGGTATTTTAACATCTGTAGATGAGATCATTTTGAATCTTGTGTGAAATCACATTGCTATTTTTCATTTGGAATACGATTAACAAAGACATGTTCTCATGCATGAAAAACCGTCTTGATTACAATTGAGCACGTGGTGTTAAATGTGTGAAAATCTACACCCATAGGTTGTCTCTCTTGTAATAAAGTTGTTTATCAACAACAACTTGTCCTTGTTCATCACAGCAATTTCATCAACCACTAAAAGAAGTTAAGAAAGCATGAAGGCTTTCCTGCTATTAAGTGGATAACTGTGTTTCACATAAACAGGTGCAAATGTTGAGTTATAATTGAACATAACAACATAATATTTGGCCATTCGTCCGATCAATGCTTTATGATAACAAATTCATTGACCAATCCTACACCTGGTAACAGTAGACAGAACGACACGCCCTAAGCGAGGGGTGGTGTTACAACTGAATTAATATGTTAATATTGTGTGTGATCTTGGTACCGGTATGGTACCCAATATGGTTGTCTTGTTGACGTGACGGGACACGTGGACAACCGGCCCGTGGCAAGTCAAGAGCTCCCCTGCTCCAACGAGATGATATTGTGACTTAAATGTGTTTCGATGAACATTAATATATCTGGCAACTTCGTTTTGCGCCTATCATGTTTGCAGCAAACAAACAGACGTTGATCTTCAGCAAGCCGTGAAATATATATATATATATATATATATATATATATATATATATATATATATATATATAATATTCAATACATTCTTAAATTAAAGAATGCATCTTTCAATAAATATTCATGAACACACTTGTTTTGCTTTCATATGCTCATAAAAACACTTTTGTTTAGCCGTAATTAACGCCAACGCAATTTCACGGCTTGCTGAAATTATATATATATAATGTTCAATACATTCTTAAATTAAACAATGCATCTTTCAATTATATAAATAATTTAAATGTTTAATAAATATATTCTTAAATTATTGTATAATATCAGAACGTAGCTTACCCAGGAGTTCGACCACGGGAAGAACATTCCCAAAACAAACATTCCGAACATTGGCCCACCCACAACGCTTGTTACAGCATACGTTGCCTGAATTGCAAAAAAACTGATTGAAATCATACACTAACTGGTGTGTGACACTTTAAAGTGACACTTTTTTCAATATTAAGCAGTATCAATGAACGTTTACATTTAGAAGATATTATATACAACGTGACTACCATAGTTGGAAATTCGTGGTTATCAAGGACTTTTTCTGTGTTTACATGAGTACAAGATTTACCGAAAAGAAAAAGGTTACTGCTGTTCCTTAAAAGAGAACAAGATCCAACACATATTAAGATATCGTTTTACCTGAAGGACGCTCCCCAACTGGGCCACGCCAAATGCACAAGCTATTGTCACGCCACCCATTACGAACACTGTAAAGTACATAAAAAGCATGTGTCACACCGCTGTGCATTGAAGCACATATACTTTACTATAGACAAATTTAACCAATAGGATAGTGTTGTGAACAACAGCACAATACAAGTGACTCTGCGCTTTACATCCAAAGGGGGCATTGACTTTGAACACAGAATGGACACTTACCCGTGACTTTGGAGAGAATGGTCATATTCCTATCAGACATTTTCTTACAGCAAAATGGTTGAATCAGATCATGAGGTATGACAGCACCCAGAGCGTTCAAAGTGGATGACAGAGTGCTGTAACATATTTTAATATTTCAATTTCATGAATACTAGCAGACAATGTGGCATATGTGGTACTAAATTGACATAGACACACATCTTAAAGACAGAAGATCCACAGTGCAATGTCATGTTGTTGAACAGGTATGAAGTGTATTGCAAAGCTACATTATTGCTACATTAATATTATTAGACAAATTGCACCCTCTACACACAGCCCAGACAGTGAATGGGTCTTCTCCAAGGAAGCGCTGCCTAGTCAAACCCAGTCAGGACTTTTTGGAGAATGTGAAGACTCCCCAACACTGCAGCCTTCTACATTTACCAGATTGTTAGAAGGGCTGTATTCCTGACAGCAAACACGGGTACTCCCCTGGTGTCAGTCAACAGACTGGGAGGTGTTAAAATGTGAGGCACCAGAACAATGGGGAATCAGACGACTTAGAACTTGGGATGCAAGCGTGACTTTTCCAACGCGAGATCTGCATATTAGCGATGTTTTTCCTGAATGTTGTCAATCACATTAATTTTTAAGAGGGACAGAAAATTCAATTCAATTATATCAATGATTTCATTGGATTTATCCAAAATAGGGACAAGATCATTTCTGTACGGGCCAGCAGTACAGAACCCCTTAAACTGACTGATCCTCTGATCTACCTGTTGCATTTGTCAAGTCCAAAGGTCATGCTGATATCATTGGAAAGGACTCGATAAGGAGAATCTGTTTTTTGAGTAAGGGTCCTCCATTGGCAATAAGTCATCCATGTAAAGGAGATGAGTAAGGAGCGTTCGGGATATGTGTTGAGGAGGTCCCGGATGATAACCTTCTACTATGCTAAGCAAAAGGCTTAAAGGATTTAGTGACGAACAGAAAAGCAAAGGGCTAAAAGAATCGCCCTGAAACATTCCTCTTCTAATAGAAATGGGTTCCGAAGTCATTACCTGTCCCTTCGAAAACATCTCAAGTTGAGATGACCAGCAATTCATTAAAGACTTGAGTGAAACAAGAAGTCGCTCGGGGAGGTCAATACATTCCAGTGACATCAAAATCCATTCGCGAGGCACAGAATCATATTAAGCTTTTCTCTAGTGTGTCCAACACATTGAGAGGTTACTGTGGTAAGTTTTAGCCTCTTCAAGGATAATTTTCTGAACTAGCAATTGATCCTTACAACCCCAGCATCCCTTTCTGGCGTCTTTCTTCTCCATATAAATAATGTCATTGGAAGCGCAGTATGATGTCACAAGATCTGTGAGACACCCTGTAAATATTTTGTATTGTGTGTTCAGACAAGTAATAGGGCGGTAGGTTTTAGGATCAGCCAAATCACCTTTCTTTGGGAGAAGTATTGTTCGACTTTTGCACAACCAAGGCTTAACATCCCCTCTATCCACAAGATAATTTAAACAGTGAAGTAAATGCGTTTGAACACATGGGAACAGTTTCCAATACCGGGTTCGAATACTATCAGCCCCTGGCGCCGTATTAGATTTGGACTTTTTAATTACATTTTTCAGGAAATCGGGTGTAATGAAACACAGCAAAGTGACCTTATTTTTTTCATGTACACAACCATTATAATCCTCTCCCCACTGTTCTTCGTGGTTACAGTTGCCGGGTATAGACCACAATTGGTATACGATGATCAGAGATTGATACAGAAAGAAGATTGTTTCAATGTCAATACTGCAAAAGCCACGACCCTAAAATAACATTCGGAAAAGAATATTACCGGATTATTATTATTTCCAGATTATTACAATTATCATTAGTATTGCTTTTGTTATGTGAGCCTACGTTCCCCGAGTCGTTGGACACAGTGTACATCACACCATACAGCGAATTTACTCACCAACATGCTATCATACATACCCGGATAAATGTCCGAAGTATCAATGAGCGCAGACAACGCAACGAACCGGCGAGCTTCCCTTTAATGCATTCGGATAATCAGTTCATTTCAGGTCACGATATGGCTGAAATATTGCCGATGTGACTTAAAATTTTAACTCACTCATTCAGTTCATTTCAGCTCCACGATAAATTTGCAAGATAAACCAAGTTACTAAAGGTATGTTATGATTGATTTCTGAGCGGGGTTGATAAAACCAGATTACATGGAAAATAATTGGCCACTCCTTAACCAATCAAAAGCTTGCATTTTAATGTAATGTCACTTTGTATACATGTAAGGGTTCCCAGTAGTAATGGCCAAGGAGGTGGGTTTTCCGAATCAACGGGGCTCGGAGTAACGAAGTTTCGCCATAGTTGTGTAAGTTTTTGGCAATGGTAATTCCTCTACCTGAGACTTCCGCTGAAGACGCATGAGACAAACACTCCGGGCAAACCCTGGATGTGGCTCAGGATGTCCATGACAAACAGAGGCAGCAGCTGCAAAATGGAACGAAACATGACGGCGTGATGTGCTGCTCATAAAACCAACCACCGGTTTGTATCACACAGACTCGATTATTTATAGTCTATCGTCATAAATGGAACCATTGCTGACTGCGGCGTTAAACAGCATTCATTCACGCACTATCAAAGGCAGGTGCCGATATCATATAACAATTCTCTTCCATCCTTTACTGGAAGGTTCAGTCACGTTTACCTGATCTGGGCTGACGATGAGGTTGTTGAACTTCAGCGGATGACAGTCGGCGTAGAAGGCGTACATGACGATGCCGATCATGCAACACATGCTGACGATGATGATAAGTCCTGGTAGGTTAACCAGAAGAGCTCTGTAAATGGGAGGTGAAATGATAGCAAGTCCTATTGTGTTCCGATTCGATGTAAGTAGTTGTGTCCCTTTGACGTGTCCTGATCCAGTGCTCATGGATTCGTGGGATTATGATCCTTGGTCATTCAGCACTGATCTCGTGTTCGGTTTGCGTCACTTTGGGCTGTTCCCCACATTATTCTCACACAAGGGGATTCAACTGAAAAAACTGTTGAAAGGGTGTGTGAGTTGGGTTTAATTCCGGTTTGAACAGTATTTCAGTTATATCACGGCGTGTCAGCTTGATGCTACAGGTGATTTTAATCTGCTAATATGCCAATACAGCTCACTCGAGCACTCATTCAGCATATCAAAAAGGTGATTTCTTACAGCTGAGCCTTCCATGGGGACGGACAGGAGAGTGCTCTCTGGATTTGGGCCTGGTTCACGCCATAGAGACTCAGCCAGGTGAAACCACCACCAATCACTACGGTCCAGAAGGAGTGTCGAGTTGTTGGGTCGGGGTTGAAGCTGGAGAGATATAGGTCGTTGGACATATAAGAGATCATTTCTAATTTCATAACACATGTACATTTCACAATCACTTAGGCATCGTCGCCACCTCCCTCTCCTAGTCCCATCGCCTTGCGTTGCAGTAGTACGTTTTAAGAAATACATGTAGCACCACACTTAATTAGCGACCTTGGATCAATTACTAGAGTATCTGTCCCGAGTGAAAGATGTTTGTAGAGGCAAGGGACTAACAACGTTCATTCACGAGGGACCGATATTCATTTATTCCGAGTTCCGGGGAGGTAATTCTAAATATTAACTTTTAAGAGAGAAAATGAAGAAAAACGTAGGAAAAACTGAGAAATGTCACTGAAGTAAGCTTATTGTTAAGATAACGTCATGTTATCAATTTGTGACGTCATTAACAATGGATGACGAAATATCGTATTTTTCTTAACAATAAATCACTGTGACGTATTATGTCTTCAGCATTGGGAATCGCTAAATGCACTTAATGTGTAAATATCGGAATGTTATTACACACGGTCATTCTTCCTTCATGGGTAATATTCATATTCATGTTCTTCCAAACTCAAACAAGGCAAGAACGTGGATGCTCGTATTTGTATTTGATTAAATCAGATCATAAAGATATGAGGGATTCGAAAAGATATGAGGCGAATAACGTTTATTTGAATACAACGTAAACACATTTTTTGAAACCATGTGTTCGCTATATGAAATAATACCGGAGCCACGTTAGACGTTTTAACTGGAAACCCTGTGTAACCAATAAAGTCTTATCACATGCCTTCCTGTGGCGGTTCCGGGTCAGAATATGTCCCAATTACTTCCTGTTTGTTATAAAAGCAGACTAACATGATGTGTGTCTAGTGGGCAGGCTCTGTGACGAGCCTGATTGCGTGTCACCACATCCTGATGGCGTAGCACTATTCTCATACTACGACACAACTGGAATATTGCTGACAGTGGCGTCAAACATCATCCACTCACTCACTCACTCACTCATATCATATGCGCGATAAAGGATTCTGATAGTAAACTTGCTCCTGGAAGTTGATCCTTGACCCGTTAACAGCAATGTCCCAGGCGTTCTTGAAGCCACCCATGACGATGGAACCTTGGATAAGAACAGCCAACAACCCTGCAACGATCACTGCCGCTTGGAAAGTGTCAGTCCACAACACAGCCTTCATGCCACCCTGGAGAACAAGACCATTAATAACGAATAGGGGGTGGGGTGGACGGTGGGAATGTGAAGTGGATGGGTGGGGGGTTGACTATGACGTAACTATACACTTCAAGCATGAGTAACGACTTTCTGTATCAGAAAGTTCTGACTGCAAATTCTGCAAAGCCAATTAGTAAGTCTCTGTCTAAAGGTATTAAACAATCATGGAATCATAGAGCATGCATATGTTTGATAAGAGATGCCCATTTATCTAGGGCGGTTACAGTCGCATAGCTGTCTTAACATTTGATAAACTTGATTGGGGTAAAGGTATTGTTAATTTCAACCTGTATTCGATACAATTTATATGAGACATATAATGGATGTCTATCACATTCCACATAGACAATGATCTTCTGACATTATGAAAAAGCAAAATGACCTATGTACAATTTCTATCTTTTCCATTTCTCTAAATCCCCATACTTAGGTAAAGCATATATTCTAACAAGTGATTTTATTGTGAAATTGGCTTTAGTGGATTGTTCAGTTGGTTGGTTGGTTTGTTGTTTAACGCCGCTCTCAGCGAGTCTGGACCAGACAATCCAGTGATTGACATCATGAGCATAGATCCACGCAATTGGGATACGATGACATGCATCAACCAAGTCAGAGAGCCTGAACAACCGATCCCGTTAATCGCTTCTTACGACAAGCATAGTCACCTTTTACGGCAAGCATGGGTTGCTGGAGACCGATTCTAACCAGGATCTTCAAGGGTCGACACTGTAGACAAGCTTTGATCTATATATGTTTTGGTCCAATCCTCAATCCCAAGTATTTATATGAGCTAACTACTTGAACAACACTGTTGTCATAACTTTATTTTTTCAAATTTGGACGTTACAGCATTCAAGGTCTTAGTGAAGCTTTCCTAAAGTTTCATGGTATAAATGTGGAGGTTGGTTGGTTTGTTGTTTAACGCCGCACTCAGCAATATTCCAGGTATATGACGGCGGACATGTGGAGGACATCTCATAATACCCTTCATATATACCACCTGGAGAGCAAGACCAGTCATCAATAACGATTAAGCAGGGGTGTTTGAGTGAGTTAGTGAGTTGGGTTAAACGTCGCTTTTAACAGTATTCCAGTTATATCACGGCGTGACAGCTTAATGTGGGAGGAAAGCCCCAAGTGATGCAGGTCTCAGACGTTTACCACTTCGGTGAAACCCTCGAGCACGGGTATGGTACTGACAAACCTAGAAACATAATCGGGGCGAACCGGGATTCGAAACCACAATCATAGGTTTCTGGCGTGTCCAAGGGAAGGCAACTCTGCACAGCGAATCGCGGCGCCTCAGACGACTGGGCCACCCGTGCCCCCAGGGGTGTTTGAATAACTATGAAAGACAAACATCACGTGCATGCCAAAGCCATAAGGTCTGTGACTGTATAGAAAAGACTTCTAACTAAACACGAGAAAGACATTAATATAATTAACTTCAACTACTTACGAGTGCTGTATAAACGGTAACTATAGCTCCTATAACAACGACCGAGCCCCAAAGGTTAAGTCCTGTCACTGAAAAGAATACACAAGGAAATCACATGCATTTGTTTATGAATGACAATGGTTTTACATATTGGTGGGGACTGTTGATTTCAGAAAAGCTTTCGAAAGTCAATTGCAAAGCCATCTGGTACTGTGCGCTTTGTCAGGTGATATTAACACAATAACATGCCCAAGAAACACGAGTAGCATTACGTGTTGGTAATATCAATAGACATTTTCACACTCGTGTTTTTCGTATCATAAATATAATATATATGGAATAAATATATATAAGGAATATCGGGATACCATCGATAAGAATCTATATACAATCTGTCATATGATAGTAATGTTTATCCTATGCGAAAGAACATGGAAAAACTTGCTTGCTAGAAGATACACTCTGTCCACTTACCTGCATTAAATGCAAGGGTAGGGGCGTACAATACAAAGGCAATGTATACTATCTGAAATGGAAAGAAATGGTGACATTTGAGTACCTTCGTGTCTCAATGGTTCAATGCCTGCGAACATGTGACTGGCTATGATGTTCAATGCCTGCGAACATGTGACTGGCTATGATGTTCAATGCCTGCGAACATGTGACTGGCTATGATGTTCATTGCCTGCGAACATGTGACGGGCTATGATGTTCATTGCCTGCGAACATGTGACGGGCTATGATGTTCATTGCCTGCGAACATGTGACTGGCTATGATGTTCATTGCCTGCGAACATGTGACTGGCTATGATGTTCAATGCCTGCGAACATGTGACTGGCTATGATGTTCATTGCCTGCGAACATGTGACTGGCTATGATGTTCATTGCCTGCGAACATGTGACTGGCTATGATGTTCAATGCCTGCGAACATGTGACTGGCTATGATGTTCATTGCCTGCGAACATGTGACGGGCTATGATGTTCATTGCCTGCGAACATGTGACGGGCTATGATGTTCATTGCCTGCGAACATATGACGGGTTATGATGTTCAATGCCTGCAAACATGTGACGGGCTATGATGTTCATTGCCTGCGAACATGTGACGGGCTATGATGTTCAATGCCTGCGAACATGTGACTGGCTATGATGTTCATTGCCTGCGAACATGTGACTGGCTATGATGTTCATTGCCTGCGAACATGTGACTGGCTATGATGTTCATTGCCTGCGAACATGTGACTGGCTATGATGTTCAATGCCTGCGAACATGTGACTGGCTATGATGTTCATTGCCTGCAAACATGTGACTGGCTATGATGTTCAATGCCTGCGAACATGTGACGGGCTATGATGTTCATTGCCTGCGAACATGTGACTGGCTATGATGTTCATTGCCTGCGAACATGTGACTGGCTATGATGTTCAATGCCTGCGAACATGTGACTGGCTATGATGTTCATTGCCTGCGAACATGTGACTGGCTATGATGTTCATTGCCTGCGAACATGTGACGGGCTATGATGTTCATTGCCTGCGAACATGTGACTGGCTATGATGTTCATTGCCTGCGAACATGTGACTGGCTATGATGTTCAATGCCTGCGAACATGTGACTGGCTATGATGTTCATTGCCTGCGAACATGTGACTGGCTATGATGTTCATTGCCTGCGAACATGTGACTGGCTATGATGTTCATTGCCTGCGAACATGTGACTGGCTATGATGTTCAATGCCTGCGAACATGTGACGGGCTATGATGTTCATTGCCTGCGAACATGTGACGGGTTATGATGTTCAATGCCTGCAAACATGTGACGGGCTATGATGTTCATTGCCTGCGAACATGTGACGGGCTATGATGTTCAATGCCTGCGAACATGTGACTGGCTATGATGTTCATTGCATGCGAACATGTGACTGGCTATGATGTTCATTGCCTGCGAACATGTGACTGGCTATGATGTTCATTGCCTGCGAACATGTGACTGGCTATGATGTTCATTGAGCCTTCTTGTCAGATTAAGAACCAAGTTAATAACGTTGGACTATCAACATCTAAACATATGCATGCATACGTGCAGTACACAAACCTTCGAGTTGTTGTGCGGTCCTAGAGTGTGTGTGTGAGTGAGTTTAACACCGCTTTGATCATGAACAGTATTCCAGTTACCACGGCGTGTGTCTTTAGAAAAGCAGATATGTTTTGTTTTGTCACTGTTGTATGAAATAATATAATTTGTACTTTACTTCAACGTTCGTTTAACTGTATTTAATACCATTTATACATGTAGATATGAACTCTCGGGAATATAGCATATTACTCTTGAATACTAAAATCGCATTCCATTTCTGTGAAATGCGTTTTAAAAACTCACAGTTGGGATCAGGAAGAGTATCACTGCAAATGTCCTGACAGTTTTGTTGAACCTCATTTCTAGATACTGAAACAACCATCAATGAAGCAAATGAATATTAATATGCAATGTATTTACATCTCATTAATTTACGATGTGCGGGTCATCAGGAACACATCCTGTTACGAGATACACTGTGTCCATTTTGAGACAAAGTTATATGAAGTTGGTGGAGTTTGAGATCCTATTGAGGCTGATGGTGAAACTGATATCAAAGGGGTTTTCTTATTGTTTTGATCATTGTTATCAAACAACAACAGATTATCATCAACAATTAACCAACAAGACCCATTTAAGTAACCAGTTGACTTAATACATAATATAAACGTGTATATATGTGAATATTTTGCTTACACCTTGGTACCTTGTAACTATTGTAAATTGAAATGTGTCATGCCATGCTTCAAGCTGACGCCAATGATGAGACCATTACATATAGAAGATTTGAATACTGAAACGCGTCATTCCAACATGTCATATATTTTGTTTGAGCAGTTCGTCTAAGATAGTAGATAAATGCAATTACTTTAGAATGGTGAAACCTCACTTGGAAAATAATTGTTATTTCTCAATACCGGTATGTTGAAACCTGACTTTGAATACACTTGAGACGAACAGACAGTCAGACAGACAGACAGACAATTGATCAATAACGGTTTGTTGAAACCTGACTTTGAATACACTTGAGACAGACAGTCAGACAGACAGACAGACGGACAGACAATTGCTCAATAACGGTATGTTGAAACCTGACTTTGAACACACTTGAGACAGACAGTCAGTCAGACAGACAGACAATTGCTAAATTACGGTATGTTGAAACCTGACTTTGAATACACTTGCGACAGACAGTCAGTCAGACAGACAGACCGACAGACAATTGCTCAATAACGGTATGTTGAAACCTGACTTTGACTACACTTGAGACAGACAGTCAGTCACACAGACAGACCGACAGACAATTGCTCAATAACGGTATGTTGAAACCTGACTTTGAATACACTTGCGACAGACAGTCAGTCAGACAGACAGACCGACAGACAATTGCTCAATAACGGTATGTTGAAACCTGACTTTGACTACACTTGAGACAGACAGTCAGTCAGACCGACAGACAAACAATTGCTCAATAACGGTATGTTGAAACCTGACTTTGAATACACTTGAGACAGACAGTCAGTCACACAGACGGACAGACAGACAGACAAATGCTCAATAACGGTATGTTGAAACCTGACTTTGAACACACTTGAGACAGACAGACAGTCAGTCAGACAGACAGACAGACAGACAGACAATTGCTCAATAACAGTATGTTGAAACCTGACCTGGAATACCCTTGTGGGAGAGAGACAGACAGACAATCTCTTAAAAACAGTATGTTGAAATCTGACCTCGAATGCACTTGTGACAGACAGACAGATAGACCGACCGACAGACAGACAGGTAGACAGACAATTTCTCAATAACAGTATGTTGAAACCTGACTTTGAATACAATTGAGACAGACAGTCAGAAAAACAGACAGACAGACAGACAGACAGACAAATGCTCAATAAGAGTTTGTTGAAACCTGACTTTAAATACACTTAAGACAGACAGTCAGACAGACAGACAATTGCTCAATAACAGTATGTTGAAACCTGACTTTAAATACACTTAAGACAGACAGTCAGACAGACAGACAATTGCTCAATAACAGTATGTTGAAACCTGACCTGGAATACACTTGAGACAGACAGACAGACAGACAGACAGACAGATAGACAGACAGGCAGACAGACAGATAGAAAATTTATTAATAACAGTGCGTGGAAATCTTACCTGGAATACACTCGTGACGCGCAGGTTGTAGAAGAATGGGACGAATAGTACGGCTGAGAGGACAATCGCAAATACAAACGATAAACACAGATACCAAAACATTGTCGTGTAAATGTACATCTCGGCCGCCGTCCCTAGCAAGGTCACTGCCGACAAAAACGTCACCAGCAGCGACAACGCCACGGGTATAACGTACATCTGGCGACCCCCAAACAGGTACTCCTTGGAACTTAGTTTCTTTCGGTCAATGATGGCGTACCCCAGTCCAATACCCGTAGATATAAGTAATGTGAGGCCAAAAAGGACATAGTCGACGACGGAAAACGTCTTCGTTTTTCCTGTGTAGATGCTGTAGTCCTCCATGGTGATAAAGACGCCGAATCACAAGATAAAATGTGTCCTGAAAGATTTAACCTAGTTTTGAGGGTCCTCTTTATGCAGCCACCACTGTAAGCAACACAAGCGGTGTATATATACCCATATTATGTATACGACTGTGCTAGTTTACACATTCACTGCGGGCCTCGCCAAGCGGAATATCTGGTTGCAGTTATGCAGTGATAGACACACGGCTTCTTCTCATTGCAGCTATACCTAACAGCGAGAAGAGCGCAAATATTGAAGTGGCCCTTATCTGTAGTTTCTACCCGGTTGTCTAACACTGCCCGCTTACAAAAGCCTAATGGTGCCACTTTGGTTGCATATATATTTCTTCACATCGAAATTTCTCCTCATTTCGATTATTTGATTATATTTTCGTATTTTCAATTATTTTCTCGTTTCTTCGAGTGTTTACTCGTTATTTCAATTATTTCCTCGTTTCTTCAATTTTACTTCAAAAACTCGAAAAGATTTTTTTCTCTTTACTTCAATTATTTACTCGTTATATCATTATTTTCTCGCTGCTTCGAGGTTTTTCTCGTTACTTCGGTTATTTTCTCGTTAATTCTTTTTTGTTTAAAAAACACGAAATTTTGAGTTTTTACTCGTTACTTCAATTATTTTCTCGTTATTTCAAATTTATTTAAAAAAATTAACGAGAAAATAATTGAAAAACGAGAAATTCCGATTAAAATTAGAGTAAATTAATGCTACCAAAGTGGCCCAATTAGGCTTTCGTACCCGCTAGGTCTCGTACCCGTACCCGTCAGTCGATTTGCTGGCTAACGCTGAGCGTGACAAGGGACTAGGCTAAAGTCTGTAAGGACAGCGTAAATAAACTTTGAGGTAATATCTATACGCATTTCTGAACACTGATTGGTTACCTGTGATTTATGAAGATTTCGATTTTACAAAGGACTCATGTTAATTAATTTCTTCAACCTAAACAAACAAACAAAACGAAAAGTCGAAGCTCATCGGATGTCGTTATTTGGAAATACCCCTGATGGTTTAGCTTAATGAAAAAAGTATCCCTGCATTGAAAGTATTTTCGGATTTCGGATTGAATGGATAAAACGTTGACTGAGATTGATTTACATCCCATATCTGGAGATGGCGTGCCTATGTAAAAACAAAATACTTTGTTCAAAGGATTAACCGTTAATACCTCATCACGTTTACTAATGACATGCATGATCTGTAAAGGTTGCACTAAGATAGAAGCTCGTGTGTACCATGTGACGAAATTTTGAGACTGCACTGTGTGAACATTTATGAGAAGGTTACTATAGCGTAGCGCACCCACTGCTTAAAGCAAACCTTTACCGCGCGATTAATGGCTGCATTTCTGAACAGGTCATGCTCACCCTTTTCGTCCTAACTGATTTTCATATATCGGTCATCACTAGTTTTCCTTCAACGCCCTATGGAATCTGTTTCGGCAGATAATCGAGGCTGATTGTTCTCTGACGCAGACGTTTTATACATATATTTAGTGATCAAAGTGCACGATTGCTATTGTGGCAACTGACTCAAACAAAATCATCACAAGGCAAAACCCGACGCCCATGCTTTAAGCTAGACGATAAATCACACCATGAAGAATGGGCCTGAGGACTTTAAAACAATACTCACTCTTTCACACACGATTCGGAATGAGCTGGTTGTATAAGAAGAGATTGGACCCTTGGCCTTTTAACGCCGTGATAGTGTTCGTGGCTTTAAAGTTGTAAAGTTCTACAATAGTCAAGTTTCCCTTAATGTCCCTCTGACTAAAAGCTCTCGAGATCGAAATTAAGCATTGTAACGCCACGAGTCTTGTGAGTCTAAAAGATACTTAATTATGTTTGGCTTTTATTGAAATATCTATCACCCCGAGCAGTTTTAAATAACGTGAATGTATCAAAACGATTTGTAAAAGTTTAGGTAGAAAGTGTGTATGTTCAGCAAACCTGGTAACGCAGGAGTGAGGACGTTTCAGTGGAGCTTGGGAAAGTTAATTTAATCATTAACCATGTCTTCGTGTGTTACATGATATACACGTGTACCCGAACACTCGGGGTTATGCATCTCATTTAACATGTCATGACTATTCACCAGCACAACGGCGAAATGCTCATGCATTTTAATGATAATTTTATTTGGATGCTTTAAGCATCCCCGAGCCTCGTTCATGTTCGAATGTGTGACACTTCAAGTTTCGCCATCGATATGACTGAGTACAAAATCACTGTGTAGATACAAAATTATGATATTATTGTGTTACTATTGTGTAATTATGACTTAAGTACCAATTATTGAATTAATCGTCGGGATTTATCTAATAAATGAATAGTATAATTCGTATGAAATGTGTCAACATGGATATATTGTCGACATTAGTGTGTTGGCGATGTTGAGCTACATGGTTGATCAACGTGTGTTTTCTAAATTCAATAGTTTACATTTTACTTCATAAATTAAAATGTTTATTTTCAATGAACCGTACGGTTTTTGAGCAATATATTGGGTGTGTCAGTTTCCCCACGGATGTGCCCCAACTGACTTTGGGCATTTATAAAGGCAAGGCAAGGCAAATGATATGAGGTGAGGTGACATTGGGTTTAACGTCGCGTCCAAGATTATTGCACTTATATAGCGACGTGCATGGACGTGTGTGTGTGGCTGCTTGTACCAGTCCGGACTGATGCCGATTTATAGTGCTAGCTCACTGAGATACCATGCCGCAGTTTAAAATGAATACCCCACTCAGATACAGTATACTGACTCCGAGCTGACCAGTCCCTTTAGCCCCTTAATGCCAAGTGCCAGAGAGGGTAACAACAAGTACCATCTTTTAACGTATTTTTGTATGACGCGGCCGGGGATCGAACTCCTGACCTTTCGCTCTCCGGGCGGACGCTCTACTACAAGACCACGGAGGCGGTTGCAAATGATATGAACTGTACTTAGGTAACACTGCGTGCAATGCGTATTGTAATTCAATTTCAGCACACATAGAAGATTTGTAGCGTTACAACTCCTATGTTTAATTCATCTGAATATTTATCTCGTAAGCTTTTAATTAAAGCGACAAAACCCTTTCCTTAATCATAAGATACATTGTACGATTCAAATATATCAGGTTCATAAAGCAAGTATTTATGAATCACTATCCCAGTATTCGCGATAACGTGAGCGTATCCTACCCCACCGGTTGCAAACGTCACAAACACATGCAAAGTCAAGTCAAGTGTCAACCTCCACAAAATATATGGCGCAAGTAAAGAACGTGAACAGCATCGGGCATCATTTGGATCACAGACGCGTCAAACATGGATATGTCCTCCACGTGTCAACCATAAACTATTTTGAAAGCTATACTGAGGCCTTGATTGTTGTAACCATGATCGGGGCACGGGTGTCCCAGTCGTCTAAGGCGCCGCGGTTCTTGTCCAAGTCGTCTAAGGCGCCGCTGTTCGCTGTTACGTCCCTTGAGCACCCTAGAAACCTATGATTGTGGGTTCGAATCCCGGTTCGTCCCGATTATGTTTCTAGGTTTGTAAGCACCATACCCTCGTGCTCGTGGGTTTCGTCGAAGTGGTAAACGTTTAAGATCACTTCGGGCTTTCCTCCCACATTAAGCCTGTAACTGGAATACTGTTTAAAGCGGAGTTAAAATCCAACTCACTTACTCACTGTAACCATGATCAAATAACGTCAAACGAGAAAAAGTCGTGCAGCACGTCATGGCCAGTAATGTTAGTCTTGTATGAACATCATTTGTAAGGTGTGGCTTTAATGTTACCGAATATGCAGAAAAACACACTTTAGGAACAAGAACTGTCACGACAAGCCGGTTTGAGTGACTCAACTGGATGACTCAATCGTTTATGCTCTTCTTAAACTTTATATAAGCCCAGTTCCCTTATTCGTATATATACATGTACAAACAAGGACAATTCATCCTCTTTCCTTCGACGAAGCAAACCTGTTGTACATTTACCTTACGGCCAGGCACACCGCGAATATCATGTTCATAACGAGGTCAATCAACAAAACTATCGTTTATTTTTGTATGCCCCAAACAAAATGTGATAAAGACGTCAACGCCAGGGAATAACCGATTTCATTTATCCGACGAAGCATATTCCATTGGGCGTATGAGTCAATTCAAAGAGCGTATACCGCGCTTACATTCAACATGCATGTCATGTATGGATACGATGTTTAAGTATGCAGAGCGTCAACGGGTACGTAATATGCATTCTACGCCCATAAAGAATGATATCAGGTTGACGGTCTTTCATGCATGAAAGCTTAAATTATGTCACATAATGGGCCGTAGTGGCCGTGGATCTATGCTAAACAATCTTCCATTGATTGCAGCGTCTAACAGCTGGGTGCCGCATTTGTCTCGTTCCGGGTCGTGTAGTCCATGCCTTTTGTCAGTATGACCCTGTTTACTTTCAATCTTAGTTATTACATCCGTGACAGGTTTGTTTTCTCCCCAGACATGTTGTCATGACTCTTCCTGTCATCTTTTGATACATTGTATATGGCGCTCTTGTATATGAATAGGTAGACACAGCCTGAATAACCGAACAGCTTACATTTCCGCGTAAATGTGTAAATGCGTACGTGTGTGTGTGTGTGTGTGTGTGTGTGTGTGTTTGTGTGTGTGAGTGTGCGTGTGTGTCGCTGCGTGATTTTCGCTAAAGATATAATGGAACATGTTTCTTTTTATTTCGATGCGACAAACTATTTTTTTTCAGTTTTATTAGAATTACACGCGCCTCCGTTATGTTCTTTTCTTCTACAAACATCATATACTCACCGACAAAAGAAACGCGAATATCATATATGTTGGTTAATGAAAAATTATGAAAAATTACACATAGGCAAGAGATATTAACTTGGTTTGATGCACAAACGAACATACTAGTTTGTTGTGTGAACCGACGCTCATTAACGCATCACATGTGACGCCATAGATCTATTTGACTCGTGCAGGAATAGCTTGTAATGTTTGGAAATCTCGTGCAACATACACTGTGTTAACCTTGGGTGATTATTAATTTTGTCATTAAGTGGTACGCTTTGGAAACATCACTTCTTAACGTACATTCTTCTCTGTATGTTTCTATGTTTCGCGTTTC